TCTGTACCAGCACCAACTGTCAAAGATCCGTAGTTCGGCCCAGCTGTCTCACCAACCAGCGTAGGGGAACTCAACAATCCAGCGGTTGCGCCCAGGCCGCTTGGGCTCATAACCTCAAGAGCGCGGGGCTCTTGAGGTCCAGCAAACGACATGGCAGCTTGGAGGCTTGTGCTTGGCTCTGGCTCGGCTTGTACTCCTTGTACGAACACAGCTTCACCACCAGAGGCTCCCTTTTCCTCACACTGCAGCACCGAAGTCCATCGGCCAGTCAGGCGGTCCTACCCTACCACAGAAAGGGCGACCACACAACACGCCACAGAGAGTCACAAAGAGAGACACATGCGACCTGTTGCCTGCATGTCTGTGCTGCTTCTGCTTGTGTTCCGATGCCTACGGCATGTCCTGGAACCACAAAAGCCAAAGCCACGGGTGCGTCTCATTCCACACCTTTCATCACCCTAAACCCTAAACCCTAAGCTCTAAACCCTCCGAGAGGTCCGGGTGCAGCCTGGTGCTTTCTCAGAGCACGGTGACCACTACAAGTGGGGGCTCCTGGTACCCCCGTTCAGGGTTTAGGGTTTGGGGTTTGGGGTCTAGGGTTTAGGCTTGGGATGTCCACCCTTTTCCTAACAGTCCTTAATAGGGCCGGGATTATAGTACCCCTATTAGAATCCCTATGAAGGACTGTCAGAGAAAGGGGAACATCTCAAGTTTAGGGTGGGGTGTTTAGGTTTAGGGTAGCTGTAGGTTTGCTTGAAGTGGACTCTTGGAGCTATCGGGCTCTTGGCATACTAGGGTTCGGAATTCTTTTTTCGGGCATTCAGGCCCCGGATTTCGGGCCTTAGAAGGTCTTGGGTATCTTCAGGAGTTTAGGCCCTGAACTCTAAACCTCTAAACCCTAAACCCGAAGCATCCTGAAGCCCGAAGCATCCTTGAGCCTTCTCTATGGCCCTGAACCCAGGCGAGCACTCGCAGCTCACGGACCCCACACACCGTTTAGGGTTTAGGGTTCAGTTTAGGGTTTAGGGTTCAGGGTTCAGGGTCGAGGGTTTAGGGTTTAGGGGAAAGGTTTCAGGGGACTGAGGTGATGCCTGTAGGTTGAGGGGAGGGGGGTAGTGGCCTTGAAGCCCAATTCAGGTGAGAAACCAAAACCAGTGGAAAGCAAAGTCTGCCTACTTGTTTCCCCGGTTTTACCTACTTGGAGGCCCCCAATGATCACTGCACTCCTGAGCTCCCTCAGTCTCCTCAGTAGGTTATAAGTAGTACTTGAAATTAGGGTTCTAAGTACCCATAAACCTCCTAGTGCCGAATTAGGGTTTAGGGGTTAGGGTTTAGGGTTTAGGGTACGTATATTGCCTGAATTCTTGCATTGGGCATTCTCCCATGCACCTCCAAGTAGGCCCCCAAAACCCTAAACCCTAAGCCCTACACCCTAAACCCTAAACCCCCTAAACCCTAAACCCTAAACCCTGAACCCTACACCCTACACCCTAAACCCTAAACCCTAAACCCTAAACCCCAAACCCTAAACCCTAAACCCTAAACCGCTAAACCCCTAAGCCCCCAAGCCCCTAGGCCATACTCAGAATTCCCCTCCGAACCTCCGAGAAGTAAGGTTCTGCGACCTCGAGCACGTGGAGCCTTCGATCCCGCTCGACTGCTTGGAGTGGGAGGCTGGCGATGCAGCTTTGGGGGCTGGGTTCAAGGATACTGCAAGGGTTCAGGGTTTTAGGGTTTAGGGTTTTAGGGTTTTAGGGTTTTAGGGTTTAGGGTTCAGGGTTTAGGGTTTAGGGTTTAGGAGTTACGGACTTTAAGTTTTTTTTGTTCAGGTTTGGTGGTTCAGGTGTTTAGGGCGCTTTGGTGTTGACGAAGACTTGGATGTAAAGGCCTGGGCTGTTGGCATTGACATGTGCTTGGGCTCTTCTTTGTTCATCATGATCACCTAACCCTAAACCCTGAACCCTAAACCCTGAACCTAGACCCTAAACCCCAGAAAGGCTCCAGATTTTTGGGCATCCGCAGGGTGTTACACCACAAGCTCAAAGATGTCCTGAACCTAGCCTCTTCCCCGAGCCCAATGCTGCTGAACCTTAAAGCCCTAAACCCTTTAGGGTTTAGGTTTAGGGTTTAGGGTTCCCTAAACTTTAAGCCCCAGACCCTAAACCTCTCTCGGGAGTAGGGCTTAGGGCGTTGCACACCTCCTTTGCGAAAGAGGTCGGCAAACAGGCCGAGGTGGTGCAGGTCGTGGGTCTGTGCCTCAGAGAGAGGGACTGGGTGAGCAAAGCATTTAGGGTTTTGGGGATCAGAGGTTTAGGGGTTTAGGGGTTTTGAGGTTAGGGGTTTTGGGGGTTTAGGTTTAGGGGTTTAGGGGTCTAGGAGGCTTGGGCCCCTGCTATATTTGCCCGCTATGGAATATCCTCGGTCCCTAAACCCTAAACCCTAAGAAAAGCCTCAGCCAGCAACCTCTAAACCCGACCCTCGACCCCAAACCCTAAACCCTTACCCCCAAACCCAAACCCTCGGGATTAAGGTTTAGGGTTTAGGGTTTAACCTACAACCCTAAACCCGACAGCCCTAAAACCCCTAACGCCACAAGCCTTAAGCCGCGGGCAAGGCCTCACGCTGAAGCAGCTCCGCCCTGACGAGCCCACCCTGCGACACGACACCAACATCCGGCACGGCTGCAAGGTCGGCTGGGGTTTGGGGTTTCGGGTCGAGGGTGGGGGGTTTAGGGTGTAGGGTTTAGGGTTTAGGGTTTAGGGTTTAGAGTTTAGGGTTTAGGGTGTAGGGCTTAGTGTTTTAGGTGTAGGGTTTAGGGTTTGGGGTTGTGGGTTTAGGGTCGATGGAGCCCTGCCCTGCCTACTTGCAAGCAGGGTTGCAAGTTGAGCACATGCATCTTGAGCACCCCTACGCGAGGCACGTTAAACCCTAAACCCTAAACCCTAAACCCTAAACCCTAAACCCTAAACCCTAAACCCTAAACCCTAAACCTCAAACCCTGAGCCCCCCAAGCCTTGCAGCCCTGAACCAGGGAGCCCTGTCCCTTAACTCGGGGACTGCAAGACCCTAAACCCTAAACCCTAAACCCTAAACCCTAAACCCTAAACCCTAAACCCTAAACCCTAAACCCTAAACCCTAAACCCTAAACCCTAAACCCTAAACCCTAAACCCTAAACCCTAAACCCTAAACCCTAAACCTAAACCCTAAACCCTAAACCCTAAACCCTAAACCCTAAACCCTAAACCCTAAACCCTAAACCCTAAACCCTAAACCCTAAACCCTAAACCCTAAACCCTAAACCCTAAACCCTAAACCTAAACCCTAAACCAAAGTCGAATCAACAAAGGCACAGCCCCCAAACCCTCAGCCCTGTGAGCATTCAGGGTTTCAGGGTCTCAAGGTTTCGGGTTCAGGGTTTAGGGTTTAGGGTTTAGGGTTTAGGGCTTAGGGTTTAGGGTTTAGGGTTTAGGGTTGAAGGACCCATTTTACTTTCAGTTTTCTGCCAAACCCCAAGTGCAACCCTTGGGGCCCTAACCCCCTAGACCCTACTCTCTGAACCCCTAAGCGGTTCAGTGTTTAGGGTTTAGGGTTTGGGCTGCTTGGGCCCCTTTAAACCCCATATCCCTGAACCTAATTCCGCGAACCTTCCAGCGCGGCGCGTGAGAAACGAGAAACCCTAAACCCTAAACCCTAAACCCTAAACCCTAAACCCTAAACCCTAAACCCTAAACCCTAAACCCTAAACCCTAAACCCTAAACCCTAAACCCTAAACCCTAAACCCTAAACGAGGCGCTGATCGCGGCCTCGAAACCCAAAGGGGCGATGCTGCTGCAAAGTGGACCGGCAGAGGTCGCCGCCGCGGGCGCGAAAAGCGGGGAGTAGGGCTTTAGGGGTTTAGGGGTTTCAGGGGTTTCAGGGGTGTTAGGGGTTCAGGGGTTTTAGGGGTTTTAGGGGTGTTAGGGGTTTAGGGGTTCAGCGGTTTAGGGTTTAGGGGTAGGGTGAGGGTGTATGGTTTAAGTTCAGGGTTTAGGGTTTAGGGCTGATGGAGACGTGTCTTGGGGCTTAGGGTTTACATAAGCCCACAGCCCTGAACACAGGATCCGTAAGGGCTATTTATTGGGCCTTGGGTAGGCGCTTCGGGAACCAGGCATAGTATAGGCACTTGGATTGGGGGGGCATGATGTAGGGTTGGGGGTTGTGGGTTAAGACGTAGGGTTTAGGGTTTTGGTGGCGCTTGGGTTTTGTTTGGGGGATTGTTGGTCTGGGCCCTCGACCCTGAGCTCAGGGTTTCCAAGCCGCCAAAACCCGAAACCTTAGGTGGTTTAGGCTTTAGGGTTTGGCGTTTAGGGTTTGGGGATTAGGGTTTAGAGATTAGGGTTTAGGGTTTAGGGCTTAGGGTTTCGGGTTTAGGGTTCAGGGGTAAAGCCCCTAAAGACCTAAGCACCAAGATCCCAAGCCCTAGAGCAGGGTTTGTCAGTGCAGCTTCGCGGCGCTTTCTTCTCAAGCACCTCCTGTCATGAAGGGCCCTAAACCCTAAACCCCAAACCCCAAACCCTAAACCCTAAACCCTAAACCCTAAACCCCCATGAAACCCTCAGAGAGGGCACTGCGTGATGAAGAGGGTCAGGAAAGCTGCGGTCATAGAGCTGCCAATGCGTAGGCCCAGTATATGGGGGTCGGAAGACGTGGAGCCTAGGGGGTTGAATGGAGAAAAACTGGGGCCCTTCTTGCTTGAAATGCCGAAGCCTTAGATACTCGCTGTAACCTCAACTGGCTTCGGGACGAAGGAAAATAGTACAACTTCGAGACCTGAACCAGCCAAGCGCTACGATTTTGGTTTCTGACATCCTCAAGCATCTCCGAGACGACTGTTCCCCCTTCACCCTACACGACGACGCCCTGCATGGACGATTCTTGAAAAGGCTCCATTGGGCTTTAAAGGTTAGGGTTCAGGAGGGGTCCCAAACACACACTTAGACGCTCAAATTTCGCACTTCATGGGCTGCGGTGCGGCAAAAGTGCCGGCAGAAACCACACCAGCCGCCGCAAAACCCAATGTCGGTGCGGCAGCTGCGCTTGCGGAGGCATGGCGGGACAAGGACCAGAGCATCGGCGAAGTCGATGGTGTCTATGGTCGGATCGTGTACCTGCGCGTGGGCGCAGACCTCGCCACCGCGAGGCTCGTCGACCCTTTGCGGCGAGTGATGTTCGTCGCGGACGGCGCGTCCTGGGCCGGAAGGAACTTCCGGCTGGGAGCCCGGGAGATCCTGCTTCGAAATGGCGTCCATGCCGAGTGGATCGACGGTGAGATTGCCAAGGGCACGCGCTTCAAGCTCGTCTTCTTCGAGGAGGACGGAAGAATCTTTGTCATAGTTGGGTACCATTTTGCATGCTTAAGGGTACTTAAACCCAACAAGGAATAAACAGTTAAATTTTCATCATTGTCCCAACCCTGAACTAGGAATCTGGAGAGCCGACTGGGATGGCGTGGAGCGCGCCGTCGAGGCGTATCACCCCCGGGCTGCCGAGAAGATGCGCAAGCATTGGCCGACCATCCGAAGCAAGTCATGGGCTGAGATGGAGGCTTTGGGTACCCCCTCCCCTACCCCCTAGGCAGACAAGAGAGAGAGAGAGAGAGATATATATATATATATATATATAATATAATGTTATGTCGCTCAGGAGTTGCAGGGCTTAGGGGGCTTTTGGGGCAAACCCCAAAACTTTTAGGGGCGAACCCCTAAACCCAAAGCCCTAAGCCCTAAGCTTTAAACCCTAGCTCTAAGCCTGAAACCCTGAGCCCTGAGCCCTAAACCCTAAACCCTAAACCCTAAACCCTAAACCCTAAACCCTAAACCCTAAACCCTAAACCCTAAACCCTAAACCCTAAACCCTAAACCCTAAAGGCTCACTTCAGCGTGGCCTTCGACGCACTCGAGGAGTCCCACGGGCCGATGACCGAGGAGCGGTTCCTGGCAGCCGAGGACATCGGTACGAGGGGTCTGATTGCGAGGTTTAGGGTTTAGGGTTTAGGGTTTAGGGTTTAGGGTTTAGGGTTTAGGGTTTAGGGTTTAGGGTACTCTGCCTACGATATTCCGAGTGTATACCTGCCATACCATATGCCTATAGCAAAACTTGGGTTTTCCTATTACCTACCTATTAAATGATGATTACATACCGATGTTTTCTCTTTTGTATACTTACTATATACCTACGGCATACCGGCCGCATACCTGCTATTTTCCTAAACCTAGTATGTGCCGACTATATGCCTACTACATACTTGCTGTAGACTGTAGACGTAACATGTGCCTATATTCCGTTAAACCCTAAACCCTAAACCCTAAACCCTAAACCCTAAACCCTAAACCCTAAACCCTAAACCCTAAACCCTACAGGGGTTCTCTGGAGTTTCCTTGAAGGACACGGCGGTAGCAGCCCGCCGCTTCCTCGCAACAACGCTGCGGCTCGACCTGACGACGACTTGGGTTGGACATTTTTTATGAGGTTTTAATAGGGTCCTTTACCCTAAACCTAAACCCTAAACCCTAAACCCCAAACCCTAAACCCTAAACCCTAAACCCTAAACCCTAAACCCTAAACCCTAAACCCTTAACCCTAAACCCTAAACCCTAAACCCGGATCCCTAAACCCGAAACCCTAAACCCTAAACCCTAAACCCCAAACCCTAAACCCTAAACCCTAGAAGCCTTTTTGAACAGGGTTTTCTAAGAACAGTGGAGGTCCCTGAATCGGCATTTCCAGGGCACAGGCTACACTTTCGATGAGCGTGGGACAGGCGCCACCCCTCTTAGTAGGGAATGCGGAAGAATAGGGCCCTCGGTTTACCCTTGAAGGGATTATATAGGGTACCCTAAACCCTAAACCCTAAACCCTAAACCCTAAACCCTAAACCCTAAACCCTAAACCCTAAAGCCCAAACCCCAAACCCCAAACCCCAAACCCCAAACCCCAAACCCCAAACCCCAAACCCCAAACCCCAAACCCCAAACCCCAAACCCCAAACCCCAAACCCCAAACCCCACTAAGAATCAACCAGCAGGCACCACAGCTGAGTTCTTCGCGGCGAACCGTCCACTCAGCGAGATTCCTGCTTCGCAGGTCGTCGATTTGGACCCATGATCCTGAAGGGTCCGATGCAGGTTTAGGGTTTCGGGTTTAGGGCTTAGGGCTTAGGGCTTAGGCGTTGGGGATTTTCAGCGTTTTGCCGTAGCAGCAAGACTGCGAAGAATCATCCGCCAGGACATTCAAACAGCATGTGTGGGTTCTTGTGAGTCTTGTGTTCGCCTGCTTCGGGTGAGGTTTGCAGACTTGGGTCCTACTTGGGTGGCTGCTCTCCAATGTACTCCAAAGTTCGGGTGGTTGCATGCACGGTCAGAAGTACCGCGAACTACGCTATCATCAGTCTCTCTCTCTCTCTCCATCTCCTTCAGTTGCCCTTCTTCTGACCTTGGCTATCCCAAGCCCTAAAAACCTAAACCTTAAGCCTCTCCCTAAACCCGAGTGAGAGCGGCCCAACATGAAATGTCAACGACCCCACATGGGGCAGCCCCTGTTCTTTCAAACGTGTGCAGAGTCGGAGAGAGACCACTCTACTTTATGGGATTTAACCATAAACGCTAAACCCTAAATCCTAAACCCTGCACATCCCGAAGCCCCACACCCAGACCCCACAACTTCCATGCCTTAGTCACTGAATCCGCTAATCCGTTGCGGGGATTCCGCGCATGTGACGGCAAGTCGCTGAGGGGTAGGGTTTAGGGTTGAGGGTTGAGATTCCAGGTTTTAGGGCTGAGGCATCAGTTTCGAAGCCCAGAAGAGAACTGCCCCACTCAAAGATCACAAGGAGGTGCTCAAGGCTTGTCTCCGGACTCGCATGGGGGTGGTCCCTTCACAGTTCTACTATAATAATCCCCCAAAACCCTGTTCTAACTATTCAGGCCCCTAAACCCTACACCCCCTTCGTCACTCACAGCTACCTATGAACCACTCCGCGTGTATGAACCACCTTAAGCCCTCAACCCTCTGATCCACGAGTTATCGAGTTCAAAGCCACAAAACCCTAAAACCCAACCAAAACTTCAACCCTAAATCCGACCTCTTAAGCCATTCCCCCTAAGCCAGGGGCTTAGGGTTTAGGGTTTAGGGTTTAGGGTCCTTTCGCCCATGGCGCGCAATGCAACGCCTTCAGCAGCTCGCGTCTCGCGGCACACGCTGGTCCTTATGGCGCCCGGGCACCGCCAGGCCGGGCCACCCAAGAATGAAGAGAGAATGAAGCCCTAAGAAAATCGAACAAGTTTTAGGTTTAGGGTTTATGGTTTAGTGTTTAGGGTCTAGGGTTTTTCGAAAACATGTGAATACGTAATTACACAGGATTGAATAAGGACATAACTGAGCAAACGGAGAGTTTGAGCCGCGTTTTGGAGATTCAGTCTTTTTTCACAAGCTGGCCACAGGCTGTAACTACTGTATGGGGTACGCTAACCCTAAACCCTAAACCCCAAACCCCAAACCCCAAGCCCGAAACCCTAAACCCTAAACCCTAAATCCTAACCCTAAACCCCAACCCTAAGCCCTAATCCCTAAACCCTAAGCCCTAAACCCTAAACCCCCACATCTTTTCGATGCCTAGGAGTTTAAGGCAACGCCTGCGGTCGCGAACCACGACAGCCCCTAAGCCCTAGGCCGCCGCAACGGGATCCCCTTACTTCTCCAAAGCCCTAAGCCCAAAATCGGGTTTAGGGTTTAGGGCTTAGACCCCAACATCCCCGGGAGCTCCGAAGGGGAAAGATCTCCACCGATCGGCATCATGGAACACCTAAAAAGGCCAGAACATCCCAAGATGTTCTCCAAAGCCCTCAAAAAGCCTCGTTCAGAACGAGTGTGTTTATGAAAAGACCCCATCCCCAATGCTCTCCAAAAAGCCCCCAAAAAGAGCCCCCCCAAAACCCCCAAAAAAGGCCCCCAAGAAACCGCATTGAAAAAAAAACAGAAGCCTGAGACCCGACAGCCCTGAGGTTCTCCGGGGCCGCGGAGAGCCCTTTCCCGGCTATTGCCCAGCTCAGGAGCTCGAGGGACCATCTGCCCCTTGGCAAGGGTTTGGGGTTCAGGGTTTAGGGTTTAGGGTTTGGGGTTCAGGGGTTCGGGTTCAGGGTTTAGGGTGTAGGGATTAGGGTTTAGGGCTTTGGGTTCAGGGTTTACGGCCGGTTTAGTAGGGTAGTATGAAGCCTCCTCGATGATTGATCCCAAACCCAAAACCCTAGAGGCCCTAGACCCCACATCCTAAACCCTACGCCCCAAACCCTAAACCCTTAACCCTAAACCCCAAACCCGAAACCCTAAACCCGCTCAGGTCCTACTTCATAAGCTCCCGCGACAAGCTGGGGCCTGCGGAGGCACCCGGGTCAGCTTCGTCACACATTGAAGCCCTGAACCCAGAGCTCTGAAGACCTGAATAAACCCTAAACCCTAAACCCTAAACCCTAAACCCCAAACCCCAGACCCCAAACCCCAAACCCCAAACCCTAAACCCTAAACCCTAGACCCTAAACCCTAAGCCCTAAACCCTAACGTCGAAACCCTGTATAAGCCCTAGACCCTGAACCTTATAGAAGCTCTAAACTCGAAACCCTAAACCCTAAACCCTAAACCCTAAACCCTAAACCCTAAACCCTAAACCCTAAACCCTAAACCCTAAACCCTAAACCCTAAACCCTAAACCCTAAACCCTAACGTCGAAACCCCTAGACCCTGAACCTTATAGAAGCTCTAAACTCGAAACCCCAAGCCCTGCCCGTGCCCTCGACTTCAAGGCCCAAGCCGGTTTCTGGTGAGAGGTCCGAGTTGGGCTTGGGGTTTTGTAAGGTTTAACCCCTAGTTTAGGGTTTAGGGTTTAGGGTTTAGGTTTTGGGCGCAGAGGTCTAGCTTCTTTTCTGTCGGGCTAGATAATTTCGGGCTTTGGGCATCCTACGTCCAAGATCCTGCAGCCCGAAACCTTCGGGTTTAGCGTTTTTCAGCACCCCACATGACCTCAAACCCTAAACCCCAAACGGCCAGCCCTAAACCCTAAACCCCCAAACCTTGAACCCAAACCATAAACAAACCCCAAACCCGAAACCTTATCCTAAACCCTACGCCCCAAACCAGAAACCCTAAACACCCTAAGTCGTGCCTGGAGGTCTGCTACTTGCTCAAAAGCCTATGGCACCAGGCGGCGTGGCTCAAGTCTCAGGGCCCCCTCCAAAAAGGTAGTTAGGGCAGGGCTTAGGGTTTAGGGTTTGGGGTTCAGGGTTTAGGGCTTGGGGTTTAGGGTTTAGTAGGGTCTGGGGTGTAGGGTTTGGGGTTTAGACTTTGAGGCAATAACGTTCCAAGGGTGTAGGGTAACCCTGAGCCCGGAGCGCATGGGACGATGCTTTACAACTTTCAGTGGTTCAGGGTAAGCCCTGGCCCTGAAGCCCGTAAGCACTCCATCCCGGATTGGCCGACCCCAAGTAGTTCGAGAGAACTAAGAAGCAGACTGTCTGGACAACACCACCTAAGCCCCAAACCCGAGAAAAAAAGCAAGCCCTAAACCCCCTTGAGCCCTCAAGCCCCGGAACCCTCAATCCTAAACCCTTAAGCCCCTAAACCCGTAAACCCTCAAACCTAAACCCCAACCCCCCCTAAACCCCTCACACCCTAAATTCCCTAAATTTCCTATACCCCTAAACCGTCAACCCTGAACCCTAAACCCTGAACCCTGAACCCTAAACCCTAAACACTGAACCAGGTGGAGCTGGAACACGAAGGCGACCCCCTGTCCGCAAGGAAGGCGCTGTTCAACGATCCCGACTTCATGGCCATCCTCAAGGCTGGCTTGTCTGGGGTTTAGGGTTAAGGGTTTAGGGTTTAGGGTTTAAGCTTTAGGGTTTGGGTTTAGGGTTTAGGGTTTGGGGTCCTCAAGGTTGGCCTTGTTTGGGGGTTTTCAGGGCTTGTTTGGGGTTTAGGGCTGAGGGTTTAGGGTTTGTTTGTGGGGTTTAGGGTTTGTTTAGGGTTTGCGGTTCGTTTGGGGTTGAGGGTTTAGGGTTTAGGGTTTCAAGGCTTAGGGTGTAGTGTCGAAGCACGTATCTACAAGTTCTCAAGCACCTTGGTCTGTTGGGTTCTAAGCACTGAAATACCTTCAGCCCCAAACCCTAAACCCTAAACTCTAAGCCCCAGGCACTTCGGGTCCCTAATCCTCGAAGGGCAGCTAGGGTCCCTTAAGTATGGTCCCTTAGCTCCTTTAAAGGAATCTGATGTATAGGGCCCTTGGGTTGTATAGGGTAAGGGGTACATAAAGGGTTCCCTTGTACGGGCCAGATGACCATGTGACTACCCGCATCCTGCCCCCTTGACGAAGGATGTGCTCTTCAAGCTGGATCGGTACGCGGCGCGCGAATTGCCGGAGCTGGTCTCCGTCTTGCATCACATGACTTGGAATCCCGGTCGCTGCACAAGCCCCAACAGGGATACAGAACAGGGTTTAGGGTTTGGGGTTTGGGATTGGGCGTTTGGGTTTAGGGTTTGGGGTTTGGGGTTTAGGGATAACGTAGATAGTAACCTGTATAGAAGTGGAGCTTTGTTCCCTTATCACGGCAACCGACTGAAACTTGGAGGTTCATGGTGCTTCTTAACCAACAATAACTGTACTTTATAACTGTACTTATAGCCATATTCGGGGCACTTCAGGGGCTTATACTTCGGTCATAAGTACAGCTCCAAGTACACCCTGAACCCTGAAGCCTAAACCTTAATCCCTAAACCCTAAAACCCTAAACCCTAATGTTAACGTCGCTTTAATAACCCCCCCCCCCCAAAACTTGTTTTGGTCCCCGGGGTTTGGAGGGGTAGAAAAAAACGAGTGGGTGCCAATAATGCGGATTCTGGGGGTCTTGGGGGGGGTTAGCTGTCAGGGTCTGCTGTGCTTGGTCAATCTCAAACGAGATCTGCTTCTCTAGAGCCTCGGAGCTCGAAAAGTCTTCTCTGCAAGTAAAATTTCTGATTCCTGGCCGGCCAAATATTACTGTTGTCACCCCATTATTATTTTCACCGGACCCCCCTATATAGACTTGTTTAAACACATCGGCCCGAAAACCTCCCGTAATTGAAAGTAGTCTTCGGCTGAGCCCCTCTGGCCCGGCGAATATTACAGTTGCCACCCCATTTATAGATGTGAGGTTAACATTAAACCCTTTAACCAGTACCATGAACCTCCAAGCAAAGCAAGCCAGGAATGACAAGCAGCTGTTCAAGATCGTCGAGCCGCGCTTGCTGCACGAGCTGCCATCCGTGAGCCTGGAAGAGACTGGCTTGGAATGCAGGGTTTAGGGTTTGGGGTTTTAAGGTTTAGGGTTTAGGGTTTAGGGTTTAGAGTTGGGGTTCAGGGTTAGGGTTTAGGGCTTAGGGTTTAGGGCTTAGGGTTTTGTGGTTTAGGGAACTGAACATGAAGCGACCATTTCAGGCTAGGGTTCGGGGTTTAAGGTTTAGGGTTCCAGGGTGTATCTCCTCATTCGGGAGGCTTAGTTTATGAGTTCCTGACCAGCGACTCAGGACATCCCCCGCATCGCCGAGAGTTTCGTGGGCGTGGGATGTGGAAGCCGGATGCTGTTCCAAGAGATGATACACTTGAGCCTGGGCAGATATAGGTTCATGAGAATAGGGTTTAGGGTTTCGGGTGTGGGGATTAAGGTTTAGTGTCGAGGGGTTTAGGGTTTGGGGTTTAGGGTCGAGAGTCACAAGTACCATCCCCTTCCCTCCCCACCAATACGGGTTTTCTCAACAGTTACAACCACAACTCCCAAATCCCTAACTCCTCAGCCCTGCATGTGGTCACTTCTTTGAGATATGGTGCCTTTTGGGGTGCTTAGTGTAAGGCTACCCAAAAGGGACCATAATTCAGAGCACTGACCATACAACCCTCTATATAATCTATGTATATATATATATGTATGCATATATATATATACATATACATACATACACCTTCTACCTAAGTAGCACCTACACATGACCTCCCCAAAAAGGGTCCCTCCTTGAGTCCCTTAGTCATGATGACCCGAAGCCAATGCGATTCTCTTGTCCGCCTTCGAAGTTCCAAGGCATGAAGCCGCCTCAGCCTCAGACCCTAAACCGTAAACCCCAAACCCCAAACCCCAAACCCCAAACCCTAAACCCTAAACCCTAAACCCTAAACCCTAAACCTTAAACCCTAAACCCTAGACCCAAGACCCTGAACCCCAAACCCTAAACCCTTCTTAACCCCTTAAAAAGTCCAAACCCGGAAGCCTAAACCCTCCCTAAGACCCCCAAAGTCCTGAACCTCACCGACCCTTACAAGCCCTCAGCCCTAAAGCCTCTAAACCCTCGAACCCTCAAACCCTCAAACCCCAACCCTAAACCCTGCACCCTACAAAGTTCAGGGTTTAGGGTTTAGGGTTTTGGGTTTAGGGTAAGGCCTCTAAACCCTCAAGCCCCTCCAAAAAAACCGCCCCAGAGCCACCTGAGCCCTCAGGAGCCTCCAGGCAGCGCGACACTTCACTCCCCAGCAGGCGGGCAGTTCTCCAAACGATGGTTGGGGTTGAGGGTTCAGGGTTGAGGGTTGAGGGTTGAGGGTGGAGGGTGGAGGGTGGAGGGTGGAGGGTGGAGGGTTGAGGGTGGAGTGGCGAGGACCCAGAGCAGGCCCCTACTTCCCCGTTTGTTTTTTAGGGTTTAGCTTCCCTTATATAACCACCCTTTAGCCCTAAACCCTAAACCCTAAACCCCACACCCTAAACCCCAAACCCTAAACCCTACACCCTAAACCCCAAACCCTAAACCCCAAACCCCAAACCCTAAACCCTAAACCCTAAACCCGAAGCCCGAAGCCCGCAGCCCGAAACCCTAAACCCTACACCCTAAACCCTAAACCCCAACCCCCAAACCCTAAACCCCAAACCCCTAAACCCTAAACCCTAAACTACTCCTTGGGGTGCTAGGTGGCTTCCCTGGTGGCCTCCTTCTCGAAGTCGCCCTACAAGCCGAAGGCGAGCGGGTTTAGGGTTTAGGGTTTAGGGTTTTAGGGTTTAGGGTTTAGGGTTTAGGGTTTAGGGTGTAGGGTTTAGGGTTTAGGGTTTAAGAAGCAGAGCTTCTTTTTGTTCAGGGCTGCTTGGGGTTTAGGGTTTAGGGTTTCAGGGTTTAGGGTTTTGGGGTTTAGGGTTTTAGAGTTTTAGGGTTTCAGGGTTTTAGGGTTTTAGGGTTTAGGTTCTAGGGTGCTTAGGGTTCGGGATAACTTAGGATGATTTTCTTGAAAGCTGCTTCGGGCTTGTGATGGTGTCTTCGGGGATTCTGAGGGCTTGTTCGGGGGTCTCGGTCGGAGGGTGTGATGACGCCACGGGAACCCTAAACCCCCTAAACCCCCCCAACTCCTAAACCCCTTAAACCCTCTAAACCCTCTAAACCCTCTAAACCCTCTAAACCCTCTAAATCCTTTGAACCCTCTAAACCACCCTAAACCCTCTAAACCCTCTAACACTTAAGCCCTAAACCTTAATCGCCAAAACGTAAACCCTAAACCCTAAAACCTAAGGGAGGCTGAGGCTCCTGCTTTCGCGAGCCCTTCTGCTGCCTTTTCAGGGGGTTGAGGGCTTGGGGTTTAGAGGTTTCGGGTTTGGGGTTTGGGGTTGAAAGGGGTTTCGGGTTCAACCTTTTCGGGTGTAGGCGTTTCGGGCCATTCAGGGTCTTAGGTTTCGGGGTCCGAGTTCAACGTTTAAGGTGAGCTTTTGGTGTTCTTTTTGCAGTAGCTTTTGCCGCAGCTGCGGCTGCACAAGCCCTTTTGCTGAGCGCGCCTTGAAATTCCGGCTCCGAGCTTAGACCCTAGAGCTCAAACCCCTAGCTTGAGAAGCCCAAGCCCTAAACCCTACCCAAACCCCTAAGCCTTAAACCTTAAACCTACCCTAGGTTCCGCTATTCAATCCAGGAAGCCAAAACCCTACGCCCTAAACCCTACACCGTAAACCTCCGGAGGCATTCTTGATGAGTTTCTGCCCGACCGTGGCCGCCAACCTGCATCATTTCGATGCCTTGCAGCTCACGAGAGTGGTCGTCGCGTACTCGGAATGGCCCGGGGAGGTCTCCACAGATGCTCGGCTGGCCATGGTGATTGAACTCATCCCACGAACTTAGTGGAAACCCCAAGAAAATAAATACTAGACACCTTGAAAAGCCCTCAAAAAAGTGCTTGAAACTTGAAATCCTAAACCCTAAGCCCCAAACCCTCAACCCGAAGCTCTAAACCCTAAACCCTAAACCCTAAACCCTAAACCCGAAACCCGAAACCCTAAACCCTAAACCCTAAACCCTAAACCCTAAACCCTAAACCCTAAACCCTAAACCCTAAACCCTCGAGGACTTCATGGAGCAAGTCATGGAGGTGCTCTGCTTTGGGAGCGAGGCCATGACCCTCCAGGAGAGGGGGGTGTGGAAAGGCTCTTTCTTTCTAAGGGTTAAGTGTTTAGGGTTAGGGTTTAGGGTTTTAGGGTTTTAGGGTTTAGGGTTTAGGGTTTAGGGTTTAGGTTTAGGGTTTAGGGTTAGGGTTGGGCCCATGAAGGGCAGCCAAGCTTGAGTTGGGGGTATGTTTTGTGGGGGCTGTATTGGGGGATTTGGAAGGGCTGGAGGTTTCGGGACTGACTCCCTGGACACGGAAGCTGTAAGGCTTTCAGGTTTAGGGTTTAGGGTTTAGGGTTTAGCGGGGGGTCTGCGTTAAGGATCTTTCGCGTTAAGGGTCAGCGGGCTGAGGGTTGGGGTTAGGGCCTGAAGGGTGAAATCTTCGTCCTCCTCTTTCGTGCTGAGCCCTAAACCCTAAACCCTAAACCCTAAACCCTAAACCCTAAACCCTAAACCCTAAACCCTAAACCCTAAACCCTAAACCCTAAACCCTAAACCCTAAACCCTAAACCCTAAACCCTAAACCCTAAACCCTAAACATTCGCGCTTGGGTTCGCAGGATTTGTGCCTTGCACTCAGGCAAGCCTGCCAGGGCCGTGTGTACAAGTAGCCCACACAAGGTCCGATTAGAGGCTTATAATACACGAGTTCGGGTTCAGGGTTTAGGGTTTTTTCTTCATGGGTTATTTGTATACATGTATTTTCATTTTTTAATACACATTTCTTCGTTATATTATTATTATCACTATTATTATTACTACTATTATTCTTACTACTATTATTACTACCATTATTATTATTATTTTTACTATTATTACTATCATTATTGTTATTGTTTCTTTTATTATTTTTTATTACTGTTATTATTGCTATTATTATTATTATTGTTGTTATTATTATTTTATTATTTTTTATTACTATTATGAGTATTATTGTTGTTTTTTATTCTTTTATTACTATGATTATTACTATTTTAATTATTAGTAGCATTATTATTCTCATTATTATTATTATCATCATCATTATTATCATTACCACTATGTGATTCTTGCTATTGTTATTACTACGATTATTTTTGCTACTATTTTTTGGTATTATTATTTTTATTACTCCTATTATTTTTTTACTATATTTATTACTATTATGGTAATAATAGTAGTAATAACAATAATTAGTATTATTACCATTATTATTATTATTATTATTATCATCATCATGTTTATATATATATATATATATATATATATATATATATGAACTTTTTTTTTTTTTAGGGTTGCGGGGGGTTCTGGTTAAGGCTGGGGCATTGTGTGTCGATCTGTGCACAGCCCTCTGCGCATCATGCTGGCGTTCGCGGCTTTGTTTCAGGGTTTAGGGTTTAGGGTTGAGGGTTTCGGGTTTAGGGTGTGCAGCCACACGCCCCGAGGCACCAAGGCCTAAAGCAGCCCTGAACCCTGAACGTTGGGATGTTCCCCCTTCTACTAAGTCCTTAATGGGGATTATCATAGGGGGTACTTTAATCCCTATGAAGGACTGTTAGTATAAGGGGAAACATCCCAACCCTAAACCCTAAACCCCAGGCCAAGAAACAAGGAAAACGACGGCACCTTGTCGCCTAACCCAAAGCCAAAAACATAAACCGTAAAACCCCAAAGGCCCAAAACACCCAACAAGCCCGAAAGGCCCCTACAAAACCAAGACCCTAATCCCCGAAAACCCCAAGACCCTAACATACTCCCACAGACCGTAGAAGAAACCCTAAGCCTTAAACCCTAAGCCCATCCAAGCTTATCCATTCCCATTCAAGCCCATCCAAGCCCATCTAAGCCCATCCAAGCCCATCCGAGCCCGTAAGCCCCAATAGACCCCAAGAAGCCCTGAAAACCGTAAGCCCTAAACCCTAAACCCCAGAAACCTAAGTTCTAATCCCCCAAACCCTGATCCCCAAAACCCTAAACCCTAGTCCCCTAATCCCCTAATCCCCAAACCCTAATCCCCTAATCCCCTAATCCCCTAAACCCCTAAACCAGGACATGCCCGCTCCGAGCTTGGTCGCCGTCCTGCGGGCGCTGGCGCTGTGGCGGAGCCAGCCCAGGGGGAGGGGGTTGAGGGGTTTTAGGGTTTAGGGCTTGGGGTTTAGGGGTTAGGGGTTTCCAGGGTTCAGGGTTTAGGATTTATGGTTTAGGGTTCAGCAACTCAAGTCCAAGCATTCACTAGTCAAGCTCGCCACCCACCTTTGGATCCCGTAGCACAATGAATTTTTTAGTCTTTAACTTCATTTAATCACAAGAACGCAGTTGTTCTTAAAGCACCCAAGATTCCAACACCCTGGAGAATCTCAAAAAAGTGGCACCGGACACGTCGCAAAAAATGGCGACCAGACCCTCACCGGCGCCGGCTCCGGACACCCTCGGAAAGTGGCGCCGGACACTGTCCGACCCTGTGCAGCGTCGGCGAAATGACAATTGCCCACCAAAAACCTGCCAAGAAGTCTCTTGCACACGAACTTTTTGACACTTGGCCGTTCAAGTGTCAACAAGTTCACGGGCAAGTGTCAAGCAGTTCGCGGGCGAGTGAAAAAAGGCACTTTCCCGGGAGCTTTTTGACACTTGCCCACGAACTTTGCGAGACTTGGCCCCCGAGGTGTCAAAAAGTTCGCGGGCAAGTGTCCAAAAAGTTCGCGGGCGTGAAGAAATCACTTGCCCACGAAGTCCATTCGGGTTTAAATGCTACATGAAAGAAGGAGAGTTTTAGGGTTTAGGGTTTAGGGCTTAGGGCTTAGGGTTTAGGGTTTAGGGTTAAGGGCTCTTTACAGATCCGCCAAGGGAATGAAAGGGTCATATGAGGGGTATATGAAGGGAATTCTTGAGGTGTAGAACCTTAGGGGTGCGAGTCTTCATCCCATGAAAGGTGTGCATTGGTGGATGCTCGCGGGGAGCGCGCCTTTCTTTAACGCTTTACATGTAGGTGTGCGCTCCCTACTATGCGCTGGCATGGCTACGTGATCCCACCCCAGCCACCTTAGCCATTTTCTCTTCTAGGGGTTTAGGGTTCTGTAAACCCTAACCCTAAACCGTAGACCGTAAACCCGAAACCCTAAACCCTAACCCCTGTTTTCTGCAGGAGTCGCTCCAAGTCGGTGCGGGAGCATCCGGCCGCATGCGGCTCGTCTGCAAGAGGAGGTTTCAGGGTTTTGAAGGGGGTTAGTTACCCTAAACCCTGAACCCTAAACCCTAAAACCCCAGACTTAGGTTTCAGGGTTTTGCGCTGGGCTAATGAAAGCTCTAAGCCTTGAACCCTAAACCCTAATCCCTAAACCCAAAACCCTCATCCCTAAACCCGAAACCCCAAACCACAAACCCTGAACCCTCAACCCTAGTCCCTAAACCCTAAGACCTAAACCCCAAACCCTAAGCTCTAAGCCCTAACCCTAAACCCTAAACCCTAAGCCCTAAACCCTCAACCCTAAACCCTAAACCCTAAGCCGTAACCCTAGACCCTAAACCCTAAACCCTCTCTATCCTGATAGAATTAAAACCCTATTAGCTTTTTTGGTGCATTTACACCCCCCCCCCCCGTTGTTGAGCACTTTTTGGTCAATCTGGGACCGTTGTTGAGCATTTCTGGTTTTCCGACACCGTGGTTGAGCACTTTTTGGTCAATCGGCACCGTTATTGCACAATTGTCGGTCCATTTCGGACTGTTGTTGAGCACTTCTTGGGTCAGTCTGGGACCGTTGTTGAGCACTTTTTGTGTTCCTAAGCCTGGAACCCCCTAGTGAAAGCTAGAAAAGTGACCCTCTAGACCCTAAACCCAAAACCCTAAACCCCAAGCCCTACACCCCAAACCCCAAACCCCAAACCCCAAACCCCAAACCCCAAACCCCAAACCCCAAACCCCAAACCCCAAACCCCAAACCCCAAACCCCAAACCCCAAACCCCAAACCCCAAACCCCAAACCCCAAACCCCAACCCCACCCCAAACCCCAACCCACAACCCCAAACCCCCCTAAACCCCAAACCCCCCCAAACCCCCCCCCCCCCCCCCCCAAACCCCAAACCCCAAACCCCAAACCCCAAAAACCCCAAACCCCAAACCCCAAACCCCAAACCCCAAACCCCAAACCCCAAACCCCAAACCCCAAACCCCAAACCCCAAACCCCAAACCCCAAACCCCAAACCCCAAACCCCAAACCCCAAACCCTAGACCCTAAACCCTAAACCCTAAACCCTAGACCCTAAACCCTAAACTCTAAACCCTAAACCCTAAACCCCTAGCCTTAAACCCCAAACCCTAAACCCTAAACCCTAAGCCCTACTTCTGTCACCCCCATCACCCCCCATCCACCAAGGCCAGCGGCTCTTTTCTTCGACCTTTTGCTTGGCTGCGGCGCCGCTCTCGTAGCCCGACCCGAAGCTGTTCTGGGTTTAGGGTTTAGGGTTTAGGGTTTAGGGTTTAGGGTGTAGGGTTCAGGGTTCAGGGTTCAGGGTTCAGGGTTCAGGGTTCAGCGTCTCAAGTTCAAGCATTAGCTAGCTAAGCTCGCAACTCGCAACTTCGGTTTGAATATTTACCCAGTCACCCTTTGGATCCCATAGCATTAGGACAATATAAGGTTCAATCGATCCATAAACCTTAGGCTCCATAACTTAGGGCTCTAAACCTTAAGCCTTCAAGCGCCCCCCCCCCCCCCCCCCCCCCTCAGCTTAAAGGACCCCGCCCTACCCTGGAACCCCCTCTTCAGGTTAGGGGGGGCTTGTGCCTTGCCTTGTGCCTTGCCTTGTGCCTTGCCTTGTGCTTTGCCTTGTGCCTTGCCTTGTGCCGCCCTGCCGACGAAGCATTGTGCCTTGCCGACGAAGCCTTGCGCGTTGCCAACGAATGACATTAAGGCGTCAGTCCTAAACCTTGAGATTATTCGTCGGCAAGGCAAAAGATTTCGTCGGTCGGCCACTTTGCCTTGCCGACGAAGCAGTTTGCTTTGCCGGCGAAGCCTTGTGCCCTAGCTAGTGCAAACTGGGGAATAGACAGGTAGAACACGTGGTGCCGAAATTCCAGGTGCAGCTTGCAAAAAGGCAAAGGCCAAAGTGAAAAAACGCAAGACGAGAGCTTCGTGTTGCAATCATGCGCCGGAACCGCACGCTGCTACTTACGCAATATGTCGCAATGTCATGTCACGTCAGGCGAGCACTCGACTTGCTGAAAGGCCCGTTTCGTAAAAAGCACATAGGTTGAACATGGCTGCAAGATTGTGAGTTCCTGGCCTTCTCGGGTGCAAAGGGCTTTAGTGTTCTAGTAGTGACATCTTGATCGATAGAACAGCCCCGGCCCAGCTTTCAGACCTAAGATTCGCACCCTTCTACAAATGTGAAGGATTCAGGGTTTAGGGCTTAGGGGTTATGACGCCTATGCAGGACTGGGTCTGACCTTTTCCTTGAAGAGTCGAGAAGCAGGGCTTGGGGCATGGAAAGGGGGTGAAGCTTCGGGTTAAGGGTCAGAGTTTAGGGTTGTAGGGTTTGGGGGTTTATAGGGTTTTGGGTCCTCATTTAGTTCTTACAGCTTTCGGGCTTTACGGTTTCAGGGTTGAGGGCTTTCGGCTTCTGAAAAAGATGGGACTTGTTGGGGAGCTGGACGTTCTATCCATGGGAAATAGTCCTACGCGGAAGCCCAAACGTACAACTCTTATGCCCTAACCCCCAACCTTTATTATGTTTTTCTGGGCGCGCCTTGTAGTAAGGTGCGCGTGGATTTGTATCTAAGGTACACACGGGGTTTGTGTCTACGGTGCATGCGGGGTGTCAGCCCCTAAACCCTAAAACCCTTAACCCCAAAACCCCTAAACCTTTCAAGCCCCTTAGCCGAAAAACGCCTAAGCCCTAAACCCTAATCCCTAACCCCTAAACCCTGAAAACCCCAAACCCGACAAACCCAAACCCTAAAAACCCCTAAGTCCTAAACCCTAATAAGCCCTAAACCCTAAACCGCCGAGACCTTTCAAAAACCTCTATACCCAAAACCCGAAAAACCCGTAAGCCCTACCACCCCCTAAACCCTCGCTAAGGCCCAAACCCTAAAAACCCTTCAACCCTGAATTCTAAAAACCCCTAAGCCCTAAGCCCTAAAAACCCCTAAGCCCCAAAAACCCTTAGTCCCTAAACCCTACCCTAAACCCTAAAAACCCTAAGCCCTAGACCCTACAAACTCCTAAACCCTAAACCCTAAACCCCAACCCTAAATCCGAAAAAACCTAAACCTACAACCCCAAAGCCCTAGACCCTAAAAACCCCAAAGCCCTAAACCCTACAACCCCCGAACCCCCAAACCCTAAACCCTAAAAGCCCCAAAGCCCTAAACCCTAAACCCCTAGGCCCCAAGCCCTGCACACCCTAAAGCCTCCTGACAAGCCCTGTGTGTGCGCCCTGGATTCGCCGGAGCAGTGTGCACCTCAGAAGGTCATACCTTTTTTGCTAATGTAAACATATGTGGGTTTCCGAAATTAGGGGTACCTTATTGGGGTCCTCATTATGAGGGAATCTTACTATTTGGGGCTCATTTGGGGTCCTTGATTCTTGTCAACTTACATATCAGTGAACCCTAAACCCTTAGCCCTAAACCCTAAACCCTAAGCCCTAAACCCTAAATAGCCCTAAACCCTCCTTGCTTGTTGTTCTTGGACAAGCCGAGGTCTGGCTGCCACGAGCTCACCGGGGAGGAGCTGGCACAGGCTCCGTGCCAACAGCTAGGAAACATCAAGCTCTAAACCCTAAACCCTGAACCCTAAACCCTAAACCCTAAACCCGCCTAAACCCTCCTAAACCCTAAACCCCAAACCTTAGGTGTCTTTCTGTTAGGGTTTGTTCTGGATTCGGGGTTCAGGGGCTCTGAACCCTAAACCGCTTTTTGGGGTTTATTTGCTTGCCCCTAAACCCTAAACATCTTTTGTGGGGGATCCTTTTGAAACTAGCCGGGTTCTGGCACATCTGTGGGTAGGGGGACCCAAGTATTCGGAAACTCCCCCCAAATCCGAGACATGCGGAATCTTAGGGTTTGGGGTTTGGGGTTGCAGGTACCCTAAGGCCTCAACCTCAAGCCTGCGCCCTGTGCTGTTGCTTCTGAGCTGAACTGAGGAGTTAAGGCTTCTCGCAGCATGGAGGCCCGAGGCTCGCTCATACGTAAAGGTAAACCAAGAAGGCCCTTGGGACATTTTCTAATTTCCCTCATTGGGGTTTAAGAGGGTCGTATTGAGGAATGTTTTTCAGAGAGTTTTAAGGTATGTTTTCCCCCATTGGGTTCAAAGAGGGTCATATTTAGGAATGTTTCAGAGGGTTGAAAGGGCCATCCCAGTAAACATGCCAGGTTCAGGGTTCAGGGTATGTTCGCAAGTCTGTCATCAATGTCTGCGAAGCTTGGCCAAGGCAATGTGGGCCTACGGCAGGACCCGGTACGTGCCAACAAGGCTCTTTGCGGAGCTCTACAATGGCGTGCGAAGGTGCAGCATGGTCACAGCACTTTTGGTTCTTGTTGTCAGGTCTCGGAATCAAAAGAATGACAGAGTTCTCCTTCATGTAATACCAAGCATACCCCAAGCCGTAAGTCTAACATTTCGGGTTTAAGGCCTCGGGGGCTTCGGGTTGTTTTTGGAAGGCCCTGTTTTGGGGTGTGGATGCTGACCTCATAAAGGATCGGATGAGACGTCAAGCTGTAACATAGGGATTAGGCATTATTTGGCGCATGAAACACGCTTGTGGAGAAGCGTGGTCCAATCTGCTCGCATCAGGTCTTTCAAAGTCCTCTCCCTGCCAAGCTTGGCGTCCTGCTTGCTCAATTCCGGTCGGGCGCTATCTGGGCAGCTCCGATTCTGGGATGACTCCGAGCCTTAGTAGCTGAGTGAGCATGCTTTACACTTCTTGGGATACTCTAATCCCCTGTGGAACCGAAAGTGTAGCCCTTTTTCTGGGGGGGCTTCTGAACTCAGCAACTAAGGAGCCGGTGGTGGTGTTGGAGGGCGGCGTCCGCATGCCCAAGCTGGAGAAAACCTCCTTCTCCGACCGCCAGCTTCTGACCGATGCGGAGACCCTGGTGGTGTGACTTGGCTCCGTTGTTGCCCTGAACCTTGGGATGTTCCCATAGGGTTTAGGGTTTAGGGTTTAAGGTTTAGGGTTTAGGGTTTAGGGTTTAGGGTTTAGGGCCTTAATAGGGATTGCAGTACCCCCTACATATGATAATCCCTATGAAGGACTGTGAGTTTCAGGGGGAACATCCCAATCTGAACCCTAGAGTCCTATTGAACCCCGAAGCCCTGAAGCCCTAAAGCCCTCAAAATCCCTAAACCCTAAACCCTATAAACCCTAAACCCTAAACCCTAAACACTAAACCCTAAACCCTGCGCCGCAAGCCTCAAAATCTCAAAGCTGCAGGACCGCAAAACCCCTCTCAAGCCCGCCAAGCCCTAAACCCTAAACCCTAAACCCTAAACCCTAAACCCTAAACCCTAAACCCTAAACCCTAAACCCTAAACCCTAAACCCTAAACCCTAAACCCTAAACCCTAAACCCTAAACCCTAAACCCTAAACCCTAAACCTTAAACCCTAAACCCTAAACCCTAAACCCTAAACCCTAAACCCTAAAACCCTAAACCCTAAATTCCCACCCGGCCTGCTTAGGCCGTACCCACCCTTTACAAGGGTGCCTGGACCCAGAAGATACCCGGCAGTGATGGACACCTTTACTGGATGGACAATGGGTGGAGCCATTGGAGAGTGGTCGAATAGAGAGCCCCTAGGGCTCGCCTCGGCACTCGGCCACCAAGGTGGCGCCTATACCCACAGGAGTACTCCGATATTCCCCTTGATGGGAACTCCCCGGCCCGGCCGGCCCCCCCTTTGGCCCCCCCTGGCCCCCCCCCCCTGACCCCCACCGCCCCCCACCCCACCCCCCCCGCCGCCCCCCCTCTGCCCCCGCCCCCCCCCCCCCCCCCGCCCCCCCCCCCCCCGCCCTTCCGCCCCCCACCCCCCTCCCCCCCCCCCTGCCCCCCCCCCCCCCCGCCCCGCCCCCCGCGCCCCGCCCCCCCGGGCCCCCCCCTCCTCCTGAACTTCTGAGCTTTCTGTTCTTCTTTGTGGGAGCAATGGTGGGAATTGAGGGCGACAGCCCTAAACCCTAAAAGGCAGTCGTTTGGGTGGTGGCCTGTGAAAGCTCACAGCGGGTGGGGAGAAAGAACCCAGCACCAATGAAATTGTTGGATAACATTGAAAACAAATGCCTTCGCGTGACATGCCGCCCCCCCACACCCCCTGGGTGTGTAGGGGCGCCATTTACACATGGTACTTACTGCCGCTGCGCGGCGAGACGCCCTAAACCCTAAACCCTAAACCCTAAACCCTAAACCCTAAACCCTAAACCCTAAACCCTGAACCCTGAACCCTGAACCCTGAACCCTGAACCCTGAACCATGAACCCTGAACCCTGAACCCTGAACCCTGAACCCTGAACCCTGAACCCTGAACCCTGAACCCTGAACCCTGAACCCTGAACCCTGAACCCTGAACCCTGAACCCTGAACCCTGAACCCTAAACCCTAAACCTAAACCCTGAACCCAAACCCTAAACCCGAGCCCCTCGATCCCAAAGCTCCCTTAAACCCCAAAGCCCCCTGACTGTGGTGATCCCAGGAGGCGTTTGGGTGGCGTCATTCCGCGGGATCTGGCCTCGGCGTCTTGGGTCGCCAATTGTTTTTTTAAGGGTCTTGGGGGGGGGGGGGTTGGTGGGGGGGGTTTGGGGGTCGAAGTTTCAGCAGTTTAGGTGGGTAGCTTCCCTTACACGGGTCTACAACAGGCTTAGGGTTTAGGGTTGAGGGTTTAGGGTTGAGGGACAATCGCTTCACTGCTTGTAAGAGTCTTATGCAAGCAGTAGCTGCCTACATTTAGCTGTCCGTTAAGGTGGTTCTGCGCTACGAGAATAAGGACGCCTAACATAGATCCCAAATACTATACTTCTTCTACCGACCCCACAAAGCCCTAAACCCTAAAACCTAAAACCCTAAACCCTAAACCCTAAGCCCTAAACCCTCCCTAAACCCTAAACCCTAAACCCCCAGGTGGTCCTGGGTTACAGCCTGGCGCACGCGGGATCTGCGGAGCTCTTCTCGGTGCTCCAGAGGGCATGCCTCTGGGATCTCTTACCTGAGAAGGTATTAATGAGGTGTGTGGGTTTAGGGTTTAGGGTTTAGGGTTTAGGGTTGAGGGTTGAGGGTTGAGGGTTGAGGGTTGAGGTTTTTAATTTCCCAAGCCCCAAGCGCTACCGTAAGGTCTTTGGGTTTAGGATTTAGGGTTGAGGGTGTAGGGTTTAGGATTTAGGGCTTAAGCCCTAAGCCCCCAAGCCCCAACTCCTAAACACGAAGCTGCAGATCTGGTGGGTTACGCCGCATCTTGGTGTCATCACGGTGTCAAGAACCTTCCTCAACCCTTCAAGCGCACAACCCATATCCTGCGCCTTCGTTTCTTTGGATTCCAAACCCCTGAGCACGCAAAGCCCAAACCTCACATAAACCCCAAACCTGACCCCAAAACCCCAAACCATACCCCCAAAACCCAACACAAACCCCAAACCCAAACCCTAAGCCCTAGAACCAGAACCCGAAACCCTAAACCCTAAACCCTAAAACCCTAAACGCTAGAAGCCCCCTTTTTTTTCACCAAGGCCTAGAGCGCTGTCCGCAGTTCCCCCCGGAGCAGATGTCCCGCTTGCTCTGGAGCTTCGCGACGGTCCGCCTCGGGCCCGCCCTCGCCAAGGAGTGCCGGAGTGCTGGAGATGAAGCCGTGGGGGTTTAGGGTTTGGGGGTTTAGGGTTTAGGGTTTAGGGTTTAGGGTTTAGGGTTAGGGGTTTGGGGTTTAGGGTTTAGGGTTTCGGGTTTAGGGTTTCGGGTTTAGGGTTTAGGGCTCATCTCCCGATGCAGAGGAGGCTCAGGTCGACCTCCTCGAGTGCCTCCCGCAGCTTACGGCGCCGGCCGTCAGCGACCTGCTCTGGGCTCCCTGGCGTCAGGGTTTAGGGTTTAGGGTTTAGGGTTTAGGGTTTAGGGTTTAGGGTTTAGGGTTCATAGTTTAGGGTTTAGGGTTGAGGGGTGCGCCGAAGCGCAGGGCTTAGAAGTTGTTTAGATCCGTGTATACATTGTACTCGTCGAAAAGCTACAGGAAGATAGGGTTTGGGCTACGGCCTGTCAGGTGGGGTGGTTTAAGGGTTTCAGAAACTCCGTGAGCTACTTCCGCCAGTATGAACCTCCGGATGTTCGCAAGGCCTACTGTGCGCTGCGCCACCGCGATCCCCATTTTTTCAAGGTGCGGGCTGGGGTATGGGGGGGGGGTGGCACCTCAAAAGCCAGTAGGCTACAATCCCCCGGTTATTTCCACCTGGCGTTCATCCATTGCGAAGTTGGAAGTTTCGGGGAACCTGATACCCGAGGAGCTATGCAGAAGAGGGCTATTTTGTGGAAGAAGGAAAACAACAGGGGCCATGTGGGGCTTTACGACAATAGGGGGACCCCCAATATAGATCCCCAAATAGTAGGACCCCCTTACCTTAAGGACCCCAATAAGGTACCCCCAATTTTGGGAAACCCCCTTGCGTTACCTCTCCTAGTATCCTTCAAGTCATGGCACAAGGCCCTCCTGGGCGTCCTCTCGCCCAGCACGGTGGCCAACAATCCACGCTGTGCCTGGGTTGAACGGCTGAGAATTGGCGACTCCAGATTTCGTAGCGGTTTTGTAGCCTTACCTCTCCGGTTATACCCTAAACCCTAACCCTAAGCCGTAAACCCCTAAACCCTGAACCCTGAACCCCAAACCCTAAACCCTAGACTTATGGGCAGAACGTTTCAAGTAGCAGAAGCTTCTTGGCTCTCATTAGCAGTGTTCCGCTCGAGTTCGACAGGGCTCCTTCTTGCGCCCTACTGGGAGATCTCTGTGCAGACCGAACGCTTAAGAGTCGATTAAGTGCCGGTGCAAAATAAAAGAACGCTGCTACTTATGCCGACCATACCCCCGCACTGTAGGGTTTAGGGTTTAGGGTTTAGGGTTTAGGGTTTAGGGTTTAGGGTTTAGGGTTTAGGGATGTTGCGTTTCCAGACCCGCCCAGGTGCGCAACTCTGCCCGGCACTCCTGGAGCCCTCAGTTGGGGGGGGGGGCTGGCAAGCTTCGGGAGTCATTCGGTTTGGGGTTTAGGGTTTAGGGTTTAGGGTTTAGGGTTTAGGGTTTAGGGCTTAGGGTTTAGGGTTTAGGGTTTAGGGTTTAGGGTTTAGGGATAGCGTTTAGGGTGTGGAGGGTTGATCGCGCTTCTTTTCAGCCGTGCAAAGCATGCTTCAAGCCTATGAATCTTGTTGAAACCCATCCTTAGACAGTAAGAAATCCCACGAACAGTGTGTAGAGGAGCGTTGAATGGGCTTCGGTGTTCACCAAGTACCAGGGACGTCATTCGGGGATCCGAATTGGTACCTTCAGACGCTCCAGACCTAGGTTTTCAGCCAAAGACCACCACTAAACCCTAAACCCTAAACCCTAAATAACCCTTAAACCCTGCACCCTAAACCCTACACCCTAAACCCTAAACCCCAAAACCCCTTTATTTCTTTTCAAGCAAGGCTTGGAGCGCTGTCCGCAGTGTGGAAGATTGGGCCACTTTTGAGGAGCCGTCGTCAAGTGCGAATCCGCCAGCAGTTGTGGAAGATTGGGCCACCTTTGAGGAACCATGCTAATCCGCCAGCAGATGGTGTTGTGGAAGATTGGGCACCATTTAGACTCAGGACTCGAATTTCGAAGCCTCGAAGGGCCCTTCAGCAGCCCCGCCAGTACTTGGGCTTCAGTTCCATTACAGCCCCGCACAGGGGGGCATGGGCATCCACCAGCAATTTTTAAAGAGTTGGTGCGTGCGTGCGGGTGCGTCCCAAGATGGCGACGCTGCGAACACGCGGCGTTGGCAACCCTAATGTTCTGCCCGCATTGCGCTTCATATGCCAGCCGAGCACAGGACTTGCCAAGCTGTGTGAAAGCGGCGGGCAGTTGCATTGGGGCGCAGCCGACACACTGACACTTGGTCATCCATTCACCTTTGTTGGGACTGAGCCAGAGCAGCACCATGCCGAGCAGCCCTAGCCTCTGGCACTCCGATTCGATTCACTACATTTAGCACCGAAGACGTGAACCCCGTGAAGCCTCATCCCCATTGTAAGTCCCCAGCCGTGCAGTTTTATTTTGTGTTCGCAGCAGTCATAAAACCTGTTCATCTGCATGTTGCTCGACTCTCACGCCGCAATCCTAAAGCCATAAAGCTTGGAACCGTCGTCAAGTGCGAGTCCGCCAGCAGATGGTGTTGTGGAAGGTTGGGCCACTTTTGAGGAGCCATCATCAAGTGCGAATCCGCCAGCAGAAGGTGTTGTGGAAGATTGGGCCACCTATGAGGAACCATCATCAAATGCTAATCCGCCAGCAGATGGTGTTGTGGAAGATTGGGCCACTTTTGATTGAGGAACCGTCGTCAAGTGCGAATCCTCCAACCTCTTTGTTATAGTCATGAGCGTCCTCTTTGAGGACATGGACAAGCGGCTTCGTACTCAAGGCACTCTGCAAAATACATGAGACTATGTTAATCTTTTTACCCCTGACCGCATTGAAGAGATGCTGCGCGCAGTGCAGGTCGAGGCCAGTCTTTACGACATCAGTGTAAATTTCGACAAAACCTAACTACTCGGCCACCCCCGCCGCCATAAGGTTCGTTAACGGTATCAATGTTGAACAAACGGACTCCGCGAAGTATCTAGGTTCACAAGTATCTTGGGACAAGCCCATTAAAGAAGCTCTGCAGGCCCGTGCCAAACAAGCCCAGGTCACCTGTGCAAAGCTCCAACATATATGGCAAAGCAGACTCCCGTGGAAATCTTCCACTCTTGTATTGTCCCTTCCTACCTCAACCCTCGCCCTCGAGAAGGCCCATTTCAGAACCATAGACGGATAGTGCTTTAGATACTTGCGTAGAAAGAGAGTATGGCAGTGCGCAGGACGTCCGTCCCTTCCCTGACAGTCCCTCCTCTCCAGTCAGTTCAAACTCCTTGTCCAATCCACTACCACTCCGCCAGACAAGCCCCTACGCCATGTTGTCTTCTCGCCGGGTTATAAGGATCGAATCAAATGCACTAAATCCAAATCAAGAGGTCACCCCTCACGATACTGTTTGAGCTAGTCTCAATTGAAGCTACGCGTTACCTCAACCACCACATCAACCACTCCGCTAAACCTCGGCCTGAGGGATGCAGAAGTTTCTATGCCGAAAACAACACCTAGCCTTGGACCCCACCTTCGGTGATCGCCTGCCGACTGCGCCAACGTGCGCCCCTTCGCATTTCCCTCCGTGCCAAAAGACCGTTGGCAGCGCGTGGCACACATAAAAACCCGTAAACCCCTCAAGCCTTCAAACCTTCAAACCTTCAAGAAGTGCGACCCTGGCTGTGACCCCGCGCTTGGGAGGACATCAGGATCCATTTCCCGGAGATGGATCCTGAGGGCCTAGGCCGGAGGGTTGAACCCTAGAACAGCTAACGTAGGGGTTATAAGAGGGGTACTTTAATCCCTATTAAGGACGGTTAGTATAAGGGGGAACATCCCAAAGTGGAGGCCGCTACCTGAGTTACGTGCAGCCGACCTTCTTGGCCTCCCAGCGCCGGATAGCCGCGGCCGCAAGCGCGGTCGCGGACGTGACGAAAGCGCTGGAATCCTTGGGCATGCGGGGGCGGGCCGCGACCTCTGATTATGGGGTTCTTACGGGAGGGTTTAGGATTTAGGGTTTAGGATTTAGGAACCTCTGTGAAGGGGTATAAGGAGGGACAGACCCCTGGAAGGGATTTCTTAATCTTGTTCCCTCAGAAGAACCCCTACATGTACTTTATAAAGTCCTATTTACCTTACGTGGCCCCTAGATGGCCCCTAAATGACCCTAGGGTCCCTTAGAAGTTCCCATCTTTAGTCCCTGACTCTGAAAACTTCTATATGGAGGTTCATTGGGGTACTTATGAGTAGTGTTATCAGTGGGGTAACTATGGTTATAACCCGTATTTAGGGTACTTACAAGTAGTGTTATAAGTAGGGCAACTATGTTTTTCGCCTTATTTGGGGTACTTCGAACCCTACTTCTAAGTACCCATGAACCTCCAAGCAGGGTTTTGGTTGGGGATCAACCTTAAAGCTGAGCTTGCTAAGCCCTTAAACCCCTAGTCACTAGACCCGCTCGAAGCCCTTTTCTTTTGTTCTGGGGGCCAGGGTTATAGCCAGGGTTGCATGAAGCTATTGCACTTGCAAGCCTACTTCTAACATCCCACCAACCTTCAAGTAGGCTTCAAGTAGCTCTAAGCCTGTTGTGTATGGAGTTCTCCAAATTAGGTCCCCTTTGCGGGTCCTATTTTTCTGATGCCGTACTATCTATCCATCTATCTATCTATACATATGCACCAAAAAGGGACCCTATTTCCCCTAAACCCTAAACCCTGAACCCTAAACCCTAAACCCTAAACCCTAAACCCCAAACCCCAAACCCTGGATGACTCAGGCCTACGCAGAGGTAGACGGGTACGTGGTGGATGTCTTGGTCTCAGCCGAGGATGCCGGTTTGGCGAAGCCCGCCCCTCGACCGTGAAGGGTTCAGGGCCGAAAACTTCGGGTTTAGGGTTTAGGGTTTAGGGTTTAGGGTTTAGGGCTTAATGCTCAGGGCTTAGGGTTTAGGATGTTCCCTCCCTGTGAGTTTAGGGTCAAACCCTAAACCCTAAACCATCAACACTGAGCCCTAAGCACCGTGAAACCCTGACTGACACCCTCAACCCCAAGACCCGACGACTGCAGGGTAGGTTTTGAGGTTTTTAGACACCCTATACAATTCCTGAAAGATAATAGGGGGTTTAGGGTTTATGGTTTCGGGTTTCGGGTTTGGGGTTTAGGGTGGGATAGATGGTACCTAGTATTCCTTCGTTCTTTGCTGAGAACCAGTAAACCCTAAACCCTAAACCCTAAACCCTAAACCCTAAACCCTAAACCCTAAACCCTAAACCCTAAACCCTAAACCCTAAACCCTAAACCCTAAACACCAAACCCTAAACCCTAAACCCTAAACCCTAAACCCTAACCCTAAACCCTAAACCCTAAACCCTAAACCCTAAACCCTAAACCCTAAACCCTAAACCCTAAACCCTAAACCCTAAACCCTAAACCCTAAACCCAAACCCTAAACCCAGCAAGGTGGCCATCCAGTATCACAGCGCCCCCCGCACCCTGCACCAGCTCACTGGGGATCCTCTGGGCCAGACGATGATGAAGCAGCTTCTTGACCATTCTGCGTATATCCCCCTTGGGAATGAGTTTTTCTTTGATTCATTTTTTTAAATTTTTGTTTTTTATAAAACCCAAGATTCTCAGGGGAGTATAACATTTCTCTTAGCACCATTGGGAATCATGTTGGTAAAAAAACTCCGGGGATGTTAACAATCTAGTCTTATTGAGAGTATATATATATATGTATACATATGCACATAGAGATAAAGATAGAGGCGTTTATTAAGGGTTGAGGGAGTACTGCTTGTTGTTTAGCAAGCTCTGAAGCATCCTCCTTTGAATCCTGAAGCCCTGAAACCCCCTAAGCCGTGAAGCCCCTAAGCCTTCGGCAGGTGCAGGGTTCTAGCCGACCTGAGGTCAGATGAGGTTTTCCCATGAAGACGGTTTAGGGTTTAGGGTTTAGGGTTTTAGGGCTTAAACCGGTTTAGGGTTTAGGGCTTAGTGTGATGTTCAGGGTTGACGGCTTAGGTCTGTAACGCCAAAACTCTTAAAAGTTCCCTCTAAACCCTAAACTAAACCGAAAAAACCCTCCCAACCCGAAACCCCAAACCCTGCACCCCAAACCCTAAACCCTAAACTCCGAACCCTGAAAATGCCTTGACCGTAAACTCTAAACCCCAAACTCTCCAGACCCGAAAGCAAATAGTAGAACACTGCAAGAAACCCGAAACCCGAAACCCCAAACCCCAAACCCGAAACCCCAAACCCTCCAAACCCTAAACCCTAAACCCTTAACCCCAAACCCTAGACCCTAAACCCCAGACCCCCTAAACCCTAAACCCTAAACCCTTAACCCCAAACCCTAAACCCCAAACCCTAAACCCCCAACCCCAAACCCCAAACCCCCTAAACCCGAAACCCCCAAAAGCTGCAAGGAGATATCTCCGCGCCTGCGGCTTCGGCGTCGTGAACCTGCTCGACCGCTCCTTTGAGGCGCTGGAGGAAGAGGAGCGCGCCTTGGAGCGATATGGGGTTTAGGGTTTAGGGTTTGGGGTTTAGGGTTTGGGGTTTGGGGTTTGGGGTTTAGGGTTTAGGGTTTTAGGGTTTTAGGGTTTTAGGGTTTTAGGGTTTTAGGGTTTTAGGGTTTTAGGGTTTTAGGGTTTTAGGGTTTTAGGGTTTTAGGGGTTTAGGGTTTTATGGTTTGGGGTTTAGGGTTTAGAGGGTTGCAAGGTGTTCCTGGGGTTTTAGAGCGATTTAAGGGGTTGTATCGGGTTGTGACAGGCTTTATGGGGTTTATGTTGCTTTAAAGGGTTTAGAGAGGATTTCTAGGGTCTAAAGGGTTTTATGGTCCTTGTATTCGATTCTTAGGGGCTTTGTGGGGCTCTTACAGGGTCTTGTGGTCCGCTTCGTTCGGTCCATGGCTGATATTTGGAGGCTTCTGAAACTGTATGATTTTTATAGGGAATCAACCCTAAACCCTAAACCCTAAACCCTAAACCCTAAACCCTAAACCCTAAACCCTAAACCCTAAACCCTAAACCCTAAACCCTAAACCCTAAACCCTAAACCCTAAACCCTAAACCCTAAACCCTAAACCCTAAACCCTCAACCCTAAACCCTAAACCCCAAACCCTAAACCCTAAACCCTAAACCCCCTAAACCCTAAACCATTGGTGTGGGGTTTAGGAGGCTTCTATCGTGTAGCATTGTAGCACATCTCGACGTGCAAAGTTGCAGTGTAATTGTCCTGGCCATGCCAAGAGCACTGCTTGTAGCCCGACGTTTGCGAAAGCGTCAGCTTCGCAGTTTTTTATTGTTGCTTATTAGCACTGCCACTACTACCTCTTCACTCCCCACTCAACCCGAAACCCTGCACAGCAGACCCGAAAACCCGAAAGCCCGAAAACCCGAAAACCCTAAACTCTAAACCCTAAACCCCAAACCCTAAACCCTAAACCCTACTCCCTGTGCCACCCAGGCATCCAGGATCTCAGCACCAAACTCCAGCAAGCGCAGCGCCAGCCCACCGGCCGGAGCTATGTTGGAGCGGAGCAAACGAAGTGGCGGGCGTTTAGGGTTTAGGGTTTGGGGCCTAGGGTTTAGGGTGAATTCTCTATATAATCCTTGTAAAGCCATAAGAACCCAATTCTTATTGGGCCCCCAAACCTGGATTGGGGTGTAGATACAGGGTCCAGGGTTGATGTCTTTGAGGCTTCAGGGTTTCGGGGTTGAGGCTGTGAAAGGTGTAGGTGCAGGGTTCAGGCTTAGGCTTGAGGGTTTAGGGTTTAGGGTTCAGGGTTTAGGGTTTGGGGTTTAGGGTTTAGGGTTTAGGGTTTGGGGTTTGGGGTTTGGGGTTTGGGGTTTGAGGTAGCTAGGATTGCGGGGTTCAGTGGGCTGAGGATGACGAAAAGGGGATTGTTCCACATGAGGCCATTTTTTTTCTTCTACTCTCTGAGAAGAGTCAAGCCATACCAGGTATAAGCTGCCCAAATTAGGGTTTAGGGTTTTAGGTTTAGGGTTTAGGGTTTAGGGTTCCCAGTCTAGCTAAACCCTAACCCCCCAACCCCCAAAACCCCAAACCCTACAGTAGTTTTGAAGGCTCATTGTCGTTATGCCTTGAACCCCGAACCAGAGCTTAAACCCTAGTAGTTTCGAGGGCTCAGGATCTTCGTGCCACCCGCCCAACCCCCAAACCTTGAAACTCCTGAAACTCATGAAGCCCTAAACCCTAAAACCCCCAGGCTCCGGAACCCTCAAGCCCAAAACGCAGAGTCCCCAAGCCCTACACTCCTCAACCCGTTAGCCCTCAACCCTGAACCACAGGGCGTGGGCCAGGAAGAAGAAGAAGAAGAAGCCTGAATCCTCCCCCCCCCCCAAAAAAAAAGAAAAAACAACAACAGCAACAACCCAAAACACCCTAAAACCCAGGAGCACTTAGTTGTTGTTTTTCAGGTTAAGGGTTTAAGGTGCAGAGTGTTTTTTGGGTCTTCGAGGGTTTATGTGGTGGTTTCGAGGGCTTGATCGGCTCTAAGCCCAATTCCACCCTAAGAATTGAAAACCCTCTTAATTAGGGTTTAGGGTTTGGGGTTTAGGGTTTGGGGTTTAGGGTTTGGGGTTTAGGGTCAGGGTTTAGGGTTAAGGGTTAAGCCCCATAATTCCTATTCGCCCTACAAGGCCCAGAAAGCCGCATCAGCGCTTCATACAGTAAGCCCCGTAAACCCTAGTGGCCTCATAAACCCTGTGAGAGCATTACTAAATACCAAACACACCCTGACGAGACCCAATGCTGCCCGAAGTAAACCCTAAGCACACTAAACAGACTGAATAGCTTGGTTTAGGGCACAGGGTACACAACAAGATGGCTGATGCGACAACCCTAAAGCCTAAACCCTAAACCCCTAAACCCTGCTGGCTATACTGGGCAAGCCACATGCTCGCTTAGATGTTGGTTGAGGCGGCTGTGACACCCTAAGCCCTAAACCTTAAACTCAAAACCCTAAACCCTAAACACAACATTGTGCTGGCATATCGACCCTGAACCCTAAACCCTGAACCCTAAACCCCAAACCCTAAACCCTAAACACAGGAGGCCCTTACACGGCGAAGAGTTCAAACAACCGGAGGCCATCAAGCCCCAATGCCCGTGCCATCTTCAAACCTCGAGCTCCTCAGGCCGAAGCCCGAAGCCCTGAACTCTCGTAAGCCCCAAGCCCTAAACCCCTAAACCCTAAACCCTAAACCCTAAACCCTAAACCCCTAAGCCCCTGAACCCTTAAAGCCCCGACAAACAAAGCCTCCAGAGAGCCCTACAAAGCCCCTAAACCCTAAACCCTAAACCCCAAACCCCAAACCCTAAACCCTAAACCCTAAACCCTAAACCCTAAACCCTAAACCCTAAACCCTAAACCCTAAACTCTAAACCCTAAACCCTAAACCCTAAACCCTAAACCCTAAACCCTGAACCCTAAACCCTAAACCCCCCAAACAAAGAGCCCATGCTCGCGCGCCTGGCGCTGGCCCTGGCTCCCTGGACTCCCGCCTCGCAGCGGGAGCCCTGTGAGCCGCGGGAGGCGCTCCAGGCCAGCCCTGCGGGGTTTGGGGTTTAGGGTTTAGGGTTTAGGGTTTAGGGCTTAGGGTTTAGGGCTTGGGGTTTGGGGTTTGGGGTTTAGGGTTTGGGGTTTGGGGTTTAGGGTTTGGGGTTTGGGGTTGAGGAGCTTAGGAAACTTTAGGAAGGTTAGGAGGTTTGGGGAGGTTAGAGGTCAGGAAGTTTGGGGGTTTGTTGGGTTTTAGGAAGTTTGAGGGTTGAGGATGTAGGCGTCTCCTTGAAGATTTATGGGGAGTTTAGGGTTTAGCGTTTAGGTAGTGACTGACAAGTAGGGTCTAGGGTTTAGGGAGCTACTTGAGAGGATTCACGAGTCTTTTTTGGTAGGGAAAGAAGTATCCCTCCGCTCCCCCACCCACACACACCGAAACTTCTACCTACTGACAGCTGAGGAACAGGGAACTGAAACGCCCCTGAAAGCCAGCCAGGGCACCCCAAAAGAGATTGTAAAATCCTAGATCTCCGAAACCCCTAAACCCTAAACCCTAAACCCCAAGCCCTAAACCCCTTAACCCTTAACCCCTTAACCCCTTAACCTCTTCACTCCTAAACCCTGACAAGGCTTGCGGCTTGTGGCGCTTAGGACCTTCATTCTGATTGCCCAAAGGCCATCCAGCAAGTCCGCAATGTTACTGCGCCGTGGTTCTGCGACGTCTGTGCAAAGAAGCACGGTGGTCGCTTGTTCTGCGTGGGATTTGGGAATTTGGGTCAGGGTTTGAGGTACACGGCCTGTGTGTAAAGTTCACAAGGTCTTGAAACCTAACCTCTAAACTACATGTGGTTCAGCATCATCTTGTGCTTCCTCGTGGTCGCTCATAGGGTTCACTCTGTGAAGGCTGCAAATTGGTTCGATAGTTTTTGCGGCAATGCGGTAGTTGAGAGGCTACGTCTATCGCTCTAACCATGCACGCCCAAAGAAATGCAACCTCCACCCCATTGCAACCCACCATTTCTAAATGAATCATTTCAGAGACCCGAGCATTTACTTGTGCTTCAGGGCGTAAGAGGTGAGTGGGTGAGTTTCCATGAAGGGTGGTACTGCCTATGTCCCGTGCTGTGCTCCCATGGCTCTGCCTATACCCTCAACCGCAGCTCGAAGGGACACCGGTTCCCCATGCGAGCCCTTGTAGTTCAGACGGGATGTGCAGAGGCTCGCAAAGCAGTTGTTGCGGCTGCTTCCCTGGCTACGTGGCCATACTGGCAAACCTGCAGATGCAGCTGTGGAATTTCCGGGTGCACCATGGACAGTTTCAGGGTAGGACTTCAAGCAAGAACTGGTTTGGGCAGGACTGTGTTGCATTTTACCTATGCTCACCACTCTTCACATAGGGAACCATACATACACTCATCAAAAACAAGAATTGTGAACCCTACTTCAATATGATCCGTACGTAGGCTCCATGTAACGTATGTGTCCTCGAACCCTTGTCGCGGTAGGGCCTCAGACAGGTGCCTAAACCCCAAACTCTCAGCCCTCAACCCCCTCAAACCCCAAGCCGTAAACCGCAAATGCTAAACCCCAAACCCAAAATCCCAAAAAGCCCCGGCAGGCGTTCCGGCAAGCAGATGCGAAGGCGTTGTCGAATGCCACGGAGGCGATGTGGAGATACCGCCTCAAGCTGTGCCTCGGCTGGGTTTTAGGGGTTTAGTAGGGTTTAGGGTTTAGGGTTTAGGGTTTAGGGTTTAGGGTTTAGGGTTTAGGGATTGGGATTCAGGGTTCAGGGTTTAGGCTTCAGGGTTCAGGGCCCCTCAACCCCGAGGGAGTTCTAAGCCCGAAAGCCTTCATGAGCCCCAAACCTTTACACCGTCAACCCTGAACCCTAAACCCTAAGCCCGAAACCCTAAACCCTAAACCCTAAACCCTAAACCCTAAACATGGCTCCTTGCAGGCGCCCCGGCAAAGACTCTGCCTTGGCCCGAGCAGCCTTTCGCGAAAGGCTCCTTGGGCTTAGGGGCTTCGGGTTTGGGGTTTGGGGTTCAGGGCTAGGGTTTAGGGTTTAGGGCTAGGGCTTAGGGTGGGTTGGGTCGTTGTCCTTGGTGTTATTTTGCTGCCGGGGTTGAGGTTTTGTTTGCGCTTTTGGGGGTTCAGGGGTGGTTTGAAGGGTTTAGGGCATGAGGGGTTTGGGGTTTTGAGGTTTAGGGTGCTAGATTCAGGGCTTCGGGGTTTAAGGTTGGAGTCTTGGGGTGGGGGGGGGGGGGGGGGTAGGGATTCAGGGTGCGTTAGAGTTTGAGGTGCCTTGTTTTTTGGGTCTAGCGGAGTGCATGCATTTTCTATCACGGGGGAGTGGGGTTGGCAACGTCAACCACAGCTTTCAAGCCTCTATCCAAGCCTCTAGCCAAATCTGCAGAGACCAAAGGACCACCAAGACAAGGATTGGGGCCCTCAAATGGGGCGTCGTGTTAAGGACTCTGTTTCGGGGGGGTTTTTGGAGGTTTTTGGAGGGAAGGTCCTTATAGGCGCAGCAAGGCCATAGAGGGTCCATAGCTGTCGGAGGGGGGTGTCCAGAGCAGTAGAAAGATGGAGCCCATGGGTGGTTCGTTGAGGGTTTCGGGTTTAGGGTGTAGGGTTTAGGGTTAGGGTTTCGGGTTTAGGGTTTAGGGTTTAGGGTTTAGGGTTTAGGGTTTAGGGCCCTTTGCGGTCAGGACAGGGATGAAGGAGGTGGGTTCCTTGTTCTCAAATGCTTTCGGCCTCGCGGGATGTTGGCACATCGTTCTTGTGCTGCGCATAATGGGCTTTTGGGCCCTAAAATCAATAATATTGCAAGTAGCCCTTTAAAGTACTATCACTAATCTATTTCCAGTATTAATAGTGGGAGGGAGGGGGGGGGGGGGGCAGATGGTGCATCTGGCCAGGTTCGGCACTGCCCAGGGCATCTGGGCTTTGATTGGAAGGGTTTAGGGTTTAGGGGTTGGGTTTAAGGTTTAGGGTTGAGGGCTTAGGGTTTAGGGTCTAGGGTTTAGGGTCTCATATTGAGAGTGTTTCTGTGGGTTGTAAAGTTCGGAGGGTTATTAAGGTCTTTGGGGTTCAGTGTGGTCTCTATATTGGGGTTGTCGCAAAAGCATTCCTTGGTCTAAGCCCTACTTAGCCTTAAGCCCCAAACCCCGAAGCCCCTGGTTCTTAGTCGGGAATGAGGGAATGTGGGCCCTATGCATACCCTTCAAGGGACTACATAATGAGGGCATTCATTCCCTCATTCCCTACAAAAAAACAGTAAGCCCGTCAACCCTGCTGAGCCGAGATTACCTGACCTGGAAGGGGCGACGCGCCCTGTGCTTTCTGGACGAGACATGCCTCGAGCAACCCGAGGCCCATGCGCTCGACATCGCGCGCCGACCTCAGCTCCAGCGGCTTCGACAGGGGTTGCCCAGGGTTTCCTCCCCCCCCCCCCCAAACCCCAAACCCCAAACCCCAAACCCCAAACCCCAAACCCTAAACCCTAAACCCTAAACCCTAAACCCTAAACCCTAAACCCTAAACCCTAAACCCTAAACCCTAAACCCTAACCATAAACCCTAAACCCTAAACCCTAAACCCTAAACCCTAAACCCTAAACCCTAAACCCTAAACCCTAAACCCTAAACCCTAAACCCTAAATCCTAAACCCTAACCCTAAACCCTAAACATCTCAAGGAATCTTCCGCAAGCTATGTTCACAAATACACATAATGTTGGGTGCTCATTAGTGTTAACCCCCCCAAAACAAAATGATCCCCCCTCCCAACATAGTGTGGGCGTTTTTTTTTTTTTTTTTTTTGGGGGGGGGGGTCTGGTAAAAATGGGATTCGTTTATATGAGTTCAAAAGGGGTCCATACGGTTTTAAAAGTGATGAGTTTATATGAGTTCAACAGGGGTCCATAAGATTTTGAAGGTGATGTGTCTACATGAATTTCAAAGGGAAGCCTCGCGGAAATTTCGCATCGCTCGTTTTGTCACAATTCAGGGGGTTTCCTCAAATTGATCCCGCTGAATAGTTTCCGGACTTTTTGTTTTGCATGTCCGAGAGACGGCACGAATCAGGATACCACACTACACTGTATGCCCTATAGTAGGGAGTGTCTCACATCTGCAGCATGGACGGGAGCTTGATTCTGGGCCCTTTTCGGGCCCCTGCTCTGGCGCAGTCCTTGCTTTGGAGGTTCAGGCTACTTAGTAACCCAATGAGAACTGTACAAGCAACCCAATCATCACCCTATTGGGGTACTTTAAGGGGCTTACATGTGGGTTAGAGCTACACTTTTATAATGGGTTACTAAGTACCCGGAACCTCCAAAGTAGGGTTTCAGGCCTTCGGCCTCCTCATCCCGCTGCCCAGGATCGACCTTCTTACCATCTTCAGGCTGACGCAAACCGTCCCCAGTTACAAGCTGCAGGTGGAGAATCACAACGTTTCTTTGTCATAGTGCGGGTAGCAGTGTGTGGGTAACATGTTGCATTTTTCAGGGTACTGAAGCTGAAATAAAGGAGTTGTAGTTTAGGCTTTTGATACGATCCCAACCATGAACTAGGTTTGCCTCCTGGACATCTGGGCCGGAAAGTGCGAGAAGAGCAACCTGCCCATCTTCGAGCACTTTCCGGCTGTACAGGGGCCATCGCTCGAGGGCTACACCCTCGACTTCCTCGGACGCTTGCCGGCGACCCCCCTAATTTCGAATTTCTGAGCCCTGGAGGGCGGAGGGTTTGTGGATTGAGGCACTTGGGCACCCCTAAACCCTAAACCTTAAGCCCTAAGACTTAAACCCTAACCCTCAACCCAAAACCCTAAAACCCCCCCCCATGTTTCCGAAGAATTGTCTGGTGGGCTGCTTCCCCATATGAGACCATACTCCCTGCTGAGTTCCATATGTAAAACCACCCTAAACCCTAAACCCTAAACGCTAAACCCAAAACCCTAAACCCTAAACCGGCCCTAACCCCTAGACCCTAAACTCTAAACCCTAAACCCTAAACCCTAAACCCCAAACCCTAAACCCTAAACCCTAAAACCTTAGAACAGAACTGGGGGCTCATGTACTTGTACCCGCTTGGCAACTCTCTCTACACCCGAAGCCTGAATCCTAGAACCCTAAACCCTAAAGCCTAAGCCCTCAACCCTCAACCCTAAACCCTAAAACCCTAAAACCCTAAAACCCTAAAACCCTAAAACCCTAAACCCTAAACCCGAAACCCGAAACCCTAAACCACCCCAAACCCTCACCAGGTGTGACCGAGCCCCTCCTTGACTGCGCGATCCTTGAGACGAAGCTGCGCCGCTTCGCGCCCGTGCGAACGATGCCGTGCAAGTACCTGGAGTCGCTCGGAGGGGGTTTTTGTTTAGGGTTTCGGGTTTAGGGTTTAGGGTTTCGGGTTTAGGGTTTAGGGTTTAAGCTGTAGGTTTTAGGGTTTAGGATTTTAGGATTTTAGGGTTTAGGGGGTAATTGGGGTTCAGGAGCTCGGAGAATGTTAAGCAAACCTCGGATTCCAGCCCTGAGCAACGAAAGATTCTGCGACAAACCCTAAATTCCGATCCCTAAAGCCCAAACACAAGGCTTCAACCCTAGAGTCGGTAAGCACGCGCCCTAAACCCTAAAGTCAGCAAGCACCCCAAACTTTACAAACCTCCAGTATGTAACCCTCTAAACGTTAAACCCTAAACCCTAATATATTTCCCTAAACTCTAAACCCTAAATCCTAAACCCTAAACCCTGAACCCGAAACCCTAAACCCTAAACCCTGAATCTTCAACCCTCCCGGCGCTCTTTGCGCGAGCTGAGGATGGAACTGCCTCTGTTGCGAACGTGGCCGGTGCTGGACGAAGAGTACTTGGAGCCTTGTAGGGTTTAGGGATTTGGGTTTAGGATTTAGGCTTCAGGATTTAGGGTTCAGGATTTAGGGTTTAGGGTTATATACGCGGCCCCCTGAATCCTTGGCCCAAGACAACATCTCTAAATCCAAAACCCCCCGATCTCGTGAGTTTCTCTGGGCCCTAAACGTAAACCCTATACCCCAAATCCCAGCTTCGTTTAGGGTTCAGGGTCTAGGGTCTAGGGTCTAGGGTTTAGGGTCTAGGGTCTAGGGTTTAGGGTTTAGGGTTTACGATTGGCAGGGCCAGGACATTACTAGTTTAGAAGGGGTTCGAGCAAGTAGCAAAAACCCCACCCGCCCAGAGGGTCCCATAACATTCCGAAAATATTTAGTTTGTATTCTTTATAGTGCCCAGCTTCTCCTAAACCGTCGCTTCACACCTATTTGTTCCAGAAGGTCTCCAAAGCTCCCCAAAGAGGCTCCCCACCCAACCCTCGCACCAAACCCATTCGACCCATTTGCCTAAATCGACGAAGGATTTGCTTAAATCGACGAAGAACTTGCCTAAATCGAGGAATAACTTGCCTAAATCGACGAAGGATTTGCCTAAATCGACGAAGGATTTGCCTAAATCGACGAAGGATTTGTCGAATCGACGAAGGACTTGCCTATATCGGCGAAGAACTTGCCTAAATCGACGAATGCCAGAGGGAGGCCAGGATTGGCCCCTTCGTCGATTTAGGCAATTTCTTCGTCGATTTAGGCAAGTCCTTCGTCGATTTAGGCAGGTCCTTCGTTGATTTAGGCAAGTCCTTCGTCGATTTAGGCAAATGAGCAAGGTTTGCCTAAATCGACGAAGGACTTGCCTAAATCGACGAAGGATTTGCCTAAATCGACGAAGGATTTGCCTAAATCGACGAATGATTTGCCTAAAACGACGAATTTACAAAGGTTTAAATAAATGTATAAATAAAGAAATAAGTAAATAAATAAATATAAATATAAATATAAATATAAATATAAATATAAATATAAATATAAATATGAATAAATAAAAAAATAAATATAAATAAATAAATAAATAAATAAATAAATAAATATATATATATATATATATATATATATATGAAGAGAGGTGAGGGTTTAGGGTTTAGGGCTAGTGTTTAGGGCCCAAGCCCTTATCCCTAAGCACACCCAGGAGCTGGCCGACTGCCTCGCCGTGGCGGCGCGCGCCGCGCGCGAGGGCCGGCCCTTCCGAATGGCGGAGTTGGGCAGTGGGCCGCTCCTGGGCCTTCAAGGGCTTAGGGTTCAGGGTTTAGGGTTCAGGGTTTAGGGAGGTTTTGGGAGGTTAAGGGGTTTGGGCTTTGGGGGTGTAGATTTAGGTGTTCGAAGGGTTTTGGGGGATGGGTTTGGGGCTTTAGGGGCTTGGGTTGGGGTTTAGGGGGCTTAGGGTTTGAGGTTTGGGGGGTTTGGGGGGTTTAGGGGCAGCTCTTGGGCATTCAATAACTCCACAGTTTAGGCGTTTAATCGGGTTTGAGGGTTTTGGGGTTTAGGGATTTCGGGTTCAACTGGCGTGTAGAAGGAGCATGCCTTGAAGTGGGATTTGCAGGCAGATCCTGGTGAGTGAGTTTGTTGAACACGTTTGGTCGCGCCTCTGGGGTGCTCACTGCTCACTCGTTGCAAAGCCGCAGCTGTCATTCCTCTTCACCCAACGAAAACCTTGCTTCTGAGAAGGGGATTTAAGGTTTAGGGATGTTTAGGGTTAGGGATGTTTAGGGATGTTTAGGGTTTTCAGGCTTTCTTGGCGACCTTGCTAGTGTTGGGCCGCACGTTGCTTTGCGCAGCTCCACATGGGCTGGATGGTCTGCGTATTGGGGGGTCGTTTTTTCCCTGCCAATGCTATAGGACCTCGCGTGCCGAGTAAAATCCGTCCGCTAGCTTCTATTCTGCCTCCCCTAAAATTAGGGGTCAGGGTTTAGGGGTCCACCTTCTCGGGTTTAGGGATTGGTTCAGGTTTAAAGGCCTCTAGATTTTAGGGGCTTAGGGTTTAGGGTTGAAATGGGGTTCCAAGATCAGAGTTTCGTTTTTTGGTTCAGCTTTTTTTGGCGTTTGCTTTTTAGGCTTTAGGGTTCTTTCAGGGTTTGTTTCGGGATGCAGGGCCTCATTGAAGATTGTCGGGGGCGATTCGGACTTGGCACTTGTGGTTCAGGCACCTCTCAACCTTTTCATCCCTAGCCCACATAACTCTCGCAACCCTCACAACCCTCACAACCCTCATACAACCCTCATGACCCTCAGAATTACCCCTCATCACCCTCATCACCCTCATTCCTACACCCTGACCCTAAGTCCTAAGCCCGAAAGTCTCAAGACCTACTGGGAGCGGCACTGCCGGAGCAACTATGCGGGGGTTGGGGCCTTTGGCCTTTGTGTTTTCGGATTTGGGGTTCCGGGTCTAGGGTTTAGGGTCTAGGGTTTAGGGGTTCGGGGTTCGGGGCCCAGGGTTCTGCAACTCATGTGCATGCAGATCGAGCGTCACCGCCCAGGTATGGCATTTGGGCCATGCGTGCCTTCGGCGGCACTTGGTGCTGCTGCTGCTTGAACATGCCCTCCCCCCCCAGCTGTGCGGGATGAGGTGATCTTTCAAGGACGATGTAGGGTTTAGGGTTTAGGGTTAGGGTTTAGGGTTTAGGGTTTAGGGTTTAGGGTTTAGGGTAGACACTTCTTCTTTCGCGCTTAGTCTTAAACCTCAGCCCGAGGTTTGCGCTGCTCATCAGGTCTCAATTCAGAGTACGATCTCTATTCGTTCTAAGTGGTATTTGCATTGTCTTCAGTCTGTTGGGGCCTTCTACTGGTGTGTCAGTTGTCTTTCTCTTGCCATTTCTTCATCTTGGATATATGCTTTTTACAGTGGGAAGATGCGAGCTTTGAAGCCCCAAGCCATCCCAAGCGGCTCCCTAAACCGCAAAAAGCCCTGCCGTTCCCCCAAACCCCCCAAACCATCGCAGAGTCCTGAGTCATCAGCCCGAAGCCCTAAACCCTAAACCCCTAAACCCTACACCCTAAACCCTAAACCCTAAACCCTATACCCTAAACCCTAAACCCTAAACCCTTCTGAGGCGCGGCGAAAGCCTTTGCGGCCCTGGCGGCGCCCGAGTTGCCCTGCACGCTGCTGCTCGTGGAGCCCTTCGCGCTCGGAGCCTTGCAGCTTGCGGGGGGTGGGGGGGGGGAGCTCACTGAGAGGTTCAGGGTACTCTTCAACCCAATTAGGGTTTAGGGTTTTTGGGGTTTAGGGTTGAGGGTTTAGGGTTTAGGGTTTAGGGTGACAACCCCATTATAAATCTACTTATAACCTACTTCGGGGACTTAGGGGGCTCATAAGCTCACCTTATAATTGGGGTTGTAAGTACACGGAACCTCCAAGCAGGGTTACAAAGCTTGAGGATCCTAAATACGAAACAAAGGCCATCCTGATCTCGAGCATGTAAACTTAGACCCTAGATCCCTAAGTCCTCAACCGAGTCTTTTGGGATGTTTTTTTTTTTTTGGGGGGGGTGGGGGGGGCGGGTCTGGGTTGACGGCTCAAGTCCCCAACTCCCAAAAGACCGCCCTACTGGGCTTAGGGATTTGGGTATTTCCCAAACTAGGGGGTACTTTTTGTACTCCAAAATAGAACAGAATCCCCTTTACGGGACCCTCAAAAAGGGTCACCCCTTATTTTCGGAAACCCCTAAACCCTATACGGGGGGCAACCGAAGGAGGACAGGGAACAAAACAGTCAACCCCAACAGAAGCCCTTAATTCCCCTGGAACAACCAACAACCAAACAACAAGACCCCAAACCAAGGGCACACTTTTTACAAAACCTTCGACCGCTTTGGTCATGGCTTGAGCCAACGATTATCGGGTTCATTGACCCTTGAACTTCCAATACCAATTCCTTTCTACAATACCAATTGCAGCTCCGCACTCCCCCTGTCCTAGGGTTTCCTAGGACACATTGGAGGTGCCAATCTTTGGCCAAAAACCGCCATTTAGGCAGCAGCCAGCTGCTTGAAATGCACATTGTGGTTTAACGTCTTCCAGGACGAACCTTCAGCTCATTGGCTGAATCCTTTACCTTTGAGGATTTTTTCACCTCGCACTTGGAAAATTCACGTTCCAGCGGCTCGTTCCTCACCAAGGAACTCAGCATTCACCACCCAGCCATCCTTGAGGCAATGCTTACAAAGCGTTTTAGCCCTGGGCTGTGAATACCGCAGAACATCACAATCACTGCTTGCGTGCATACAGTTCCCACCCACTGTTGTATACAGAGTGGCACTCGCAGGAATAACCACCACTTTCTTGATCCACAGCCATTTGTACAGCCGCCGAAAGAGGCACCATGTCAATTCCCAGATTATGATTGCTGCCACCAAATACGCAACAAGGTCTGAATTGTTGATAACCATTTCAATACCTTGAGCCAGAACCATAACCGTAGATGTATTGGCGACCTGGCACACCCCTTCTTCTGAGCAAAAGAAACCAGCAGCTGACACTTCTTCTCCACCTGTTGCCATCCCTTGCAGGGATGCAGCCACCATCATGACCGCCATTGCAAGAGAGGCCCTTCTCAAGTCAGTTCCTTGTACTAACAGTTGGAGACCCCAAAGTGCCTTTTGCTTTGCATAAACCTGTCCACTCATCAATTTTGTCAACAGATCAGCAATCATATACTCACCACGAAGATGCGCTATCACCATGTAACCACGGTCCACCAGAGACCTGACTCCAGCTGCTCGAATTCTCAGGTGTCTTGTCCTCCAGCTTCCAGCAGGATATTGAATGATCGAGCACGTTGAAACCGAATCTGTATACAGCACTTTTTGCAGCGATTCTTCACCTGTTCCAACCAAAGCGGCAATTATAGGGGTACACGACTGAATCATCGTTGCTCCCTCTATGGACGCATGTAATTCAGCTTCAGCTGTACTTAAAGCCACCGTTGATTGTCTTTGTGTTGCCCACATCACTGGACAGTCACCCCACACCACCACCGCTCCTGAGTGGCTCTTTTCATTTTCACCTGCTGCAAAGCTGGCATCTGCGTAGGACTCCACCGCCTTAACACCTCGTCCATAACGCAACACCTCATTTCTTTCTTTTTCGCATGTTGCGATTGCTCCAAACGTCAAGCCTAACGTTGGAGTTGCAGCAAGGTATCGGAAAACCTCCTCAGCCTTTTTAACCACAAATCGCGGCCTTCGGGATGTCCACAAAGACAACTGGCTCGTGCAGAATGCCAAATCAGGTCGAGTTTTGATTGCCACCCAGAGGAACTCCCCTACGGCACCTTGAGCCGCTCGCAAGGAAGGAATATCCACCTCTTCTTCACCTGGAGTTTCTTTCACCATTGGCAGGTTACTACCTTTTCCAGTTTCATCGATCTGATACCCTCGTCGGTTCAGCAAATCTCTCACGAAGTCCTCCTGGTTGAGAAAGAAGCTGCCATTTCGATACCAGATTTGGACACCCAAAAACTTCAGGAATCCATCACCACAGCCTGGACCACAGAACTCGGGTTCAGAAGTTTTCCACTCCTTCCTGATCTGTTCCAAGGCTTCCCGGAGCACTGTCATAGTCCCAGCCATCAAAAAATCATCCACGTAAAGACCCATTGTCCCTACCAACTTGCTTGCACCTTCCGG